ATTTTAAAAATCTTATTCCAGAATCGTTCATCTACGCCGGCTTGCGCTTCGTGTTCAAGGTCGTCTACAACTCGGTGGAGTGGATGGCCGTGTTCCTCAACCGGCGTTCCCGCGAGCACCGCTACGTCGCCTACGTGCTGGGCAAGGAAAAGCAGGAGCTGAAGAGCAAGTTCGGCCAAACACTGTGCGATTCGTCTAAAAATATGGGCGAGCTGCGAGACCTTGTGCCAGTTGGTGCCCTGCACGTCGTGCGCTCCGAGACCGATATTGAAAGGTTTGGATTTGTCGACAAGTTGAAACTGTTCACAGAACCAATTTTATTCTTCTGTTTTAGGCTTGAAAACGAGGCGCTTCTCGACTGGCAGCGCCGCAACGTCATTGCCCGCTTCTTCAACGCGTTCGGCGACTGCGTCAACGCGCACACGGATGTGATCTGCTACGTACTGGCGATCCTCGCACATGCTGCATGTGCCGGTAGGAGCTTGAAAACGAGCTTGTTATGGTTTTCTAGGCCTCATCACAATGCCTTTGCCGCTGCTCGTCTTCTTCTGGGGCACCCTCTCCAACCCGCGGCCCAGCAAAATGTTCTGGATCGTGTTGATTGCGTACACCGAGTTGATCGTACGTAATTTTTCGTTTAGACAAAGCCCCCATTATTTGTAGATCATCATCAAGTTCATCTTCCAATTCCGCTTCTTCGATTTCAACACGGAAGCGGCCGAGACGCTGAATGGAAAGGATTTTTATGCTTGGAATAAGGTTAGAAAGGAACCGTATTTCAAAAATCTTGTCTAGATCCTCGGCTTGCAAAAGAAGGACTACTACGCGTTCTTTGACGTTTTCCTGCTCATCTTCCTGTTCTACCATCGGTCAGTGGGCTTTTGACCTGCTTGACCTCGTTGTCGAGCCTCTCTCGTCCCTGTTCATCTACGACTTTCAGTTACAACCTCCGTCGCCTTGGGCTCTGGAAAGATGCGAATGTGAGTGACACCTTCTCCGGCAACACCACCGCCTACATCGACCCGCAGGAAATCCAGGTATCTAGAGCTGCAACCGAGAAATATACCCCCAAAAACAGAGCGCGATGCTACGGGGCGAGTCGGTCCCAATCAAGTTCACTTTTGACAAGTACCTTGAGGTAAACACATAGCTCGTAGTTGCTCGAACGATCTGAGCATGTGTCCCAAAATTTTTTCGTTTGAATAATCCGTGGTGGGTCTGTGAAAATCATTCATTCGAAGCGCCAAATTTGTCTTAAAAAATTGTGCATGAATATAATATAACGGTTCCTAAAAATATGAGTATCCGTAAAAAGTTGGCTCTAAGTTTGGCGTCACCTAACAGACGTTGCTTGATCTGTTTCCCCCGTCCAAAACACCCCTAATCCGGGCATTTTCCAGAATTCGGTCGACAACCGAAATGGCGAGAACACCGACAACACCGAGCAGGAAGGTTGGTTGCAAAATTTGGCGTCTATCATTTTGTTCTTCGTTCCAGAATCGGCGGATCAAACGACCTCCACGAATCCGTTTGCGCGCTTCTTCGCCCAGCTGTTCCATCCGAAGTTCTTCTACATCCGCGACCTGTACCCGTTCATGTTCGCGCTCGACATTGTCTGCTTCTTTGTGATCAGTGAGATTCGTACTGTTTTTTTAAAAATTCGTTTTGAGCGTTCGGCTACTCGTCCTTCGGCGAGGGCGGCTCGGGCAATGTCGTCTCGGACATTCAATCCAACCGTATTCCGCTCACTTTTGTGATTATGCTCATCTCGCTGACCCTGATGATCGTCATCGACCGCGGGCTTTACCTGAGAAAGGTATTTTTCTCCTTTTTCGGCAAAATATCTTCTATTTTTAGGCTGTCTACTGTAAGGTCGTCTACCAACTGGTCACCATCATCTTCATGCATGTATGGATTTTCCTGGTGCTCCCGTCCATCACCAAGACGTAGGGATCCACATTCTATTTAATGAAAACCGCCTTTTTGTAGAAGCGCCGCCTCGAACACGATGGCCTCGTTCCTCTACTTTGTCAAGTGCATCTACCTGCTCGTGTCGGCCTGGCAGATCCGCAACGGCTACCCGGCACTTTGCATCGGAAACCTTCTGACGCACGCTTATGGACTGACCAACATGGTCTTCTTCAAGATGTGAGTGCTGTTTAGAGCTACGACTGAAACTTGGATTTTAGCTTCATGGCGGTGCCGTTCCTGTTCGAGCTGCGCACTGCCATCGATTGGACCTGGACGGACACGTCGATGCCGCTGTTCGACTTTTTCAACATGGAAAACTTCTACTCGACCATCTACAACCTGAAATGCGGCCGGCAGTTTGAGCAGGTGCGGGGGACACGGATGTTCTGAATTGGAGTTTCAGAGCTACCCAGCACCACGCGGAGAAGCAAAGGGCTCGTTGATCAAATACCTTATGGGCATCCCGATGATTTTGTTCATCGTCATTATCATCTGGTATGGTTGTTTTGTCTCGCAAACTCTAGTTCTCTAGGTGTCCCCTCATCGCCTTCTCGCTGCTGAACAGGCTCGGCACGGTGTTAACCCCGAATACGGCACAGATGACGATCTCCGTCGAGGGTTATCCGGTGATTTCTTGAAAACGGTTTTTAAACATTCGAAAATCATAAGAGCTGCAATTTTAGCGTCCCAAATTAACTAATTACCTTTATGCGCTTTCAGCCCCTCTACTCCATCCAAGCCCAAGGCAACGAACTGCGCCCATTGACGTTCACGGAGCTGGACGGCTTGAAGACGTCCTTCTCCAAGGCCTTCCTCCCCGGCAACGATTCCTCGGTGCAGAAGAGTCGCAGCGCTGTCTCCTTCCTCGACGACTACTCGCCCGCTGACACCCTGAAAGTGCTGTTCCGGCCCGAGTCCGAGCAACTGTGGGACATCTCCAAGGAGTCTCTCGAAGCAATGCGATTTGCCCTCCAAAATCAGACCAACGACATGGAGATACAGGTACCTGAAGGCATTCTCTATAAATTAACTCTTTTCCTAGGTTCGCGTCTCGTTCACCAGACCTCGGCAGGACAGCAGCAAGGAGCCGGTGACGCATACAAGTCAGTTTCTCATATGTTTTTTAGCTATCTCGCTTATAGGCGAATTCTCCTACAAAATGCCGAACAACTCGGTCACGAGGCAACAGCTCGTCGCGGCACTAATGTCCTCTGGGGGAGAGGTACTTGCTGAAGACCTTTTGCTCATTCTCTTTAGGTTATTGTCCCGAACGCTATCCCCGTCTACCTGATCGTCCCCAACGAGGGAGAGGTAAGAGCGTGGGGGAAGTTGTGTGCTTCCAAAATTGCTTCACGACGCACCGGGTCTGCCTTTTGCTAGTGACTTTTAGAAAATCACAGAAACCATTGGGCGGCGGGCAAGTTTACCATTTTTTCGGTGCTAAATTCTCGGCTTGTTCCCGCCATTTTCAACGGTTTTTGCAGGATCTTGGGCTCCGGAAAACTCACGAAAACGCTGAAGGCCCACAATTTTAGGTGACGCCCAGCTCGGTGCAACTCGAAGTGCTCGCCCAGTACCTGCCCGACACCGCCACCGTCCACAAGACGTACGCGAACATCTCCCTGAAAATGGAGAAGCGCGACGGCGGCGGATTCCTGTGGACGGCGCACATGATCAACCCATCGTTCAACACCACTGGCATCAACTCGTCGCAGCTGATCTTGCCCGCCGAGAAGGTGCACTACCGGCCGGGCAACGAAGACTACGTGCAGCTCGTCTCGTTCGTCGATAGAACGTTCCCGTCCTTCTTCGCCAAATACGTCCAGGGCGGGTACGTGTTTTATAAGAAGTTCAACTGGTAGCTCTACTTAGCTGTTAGACTTCTACTTACTACTATCAGCTACTTAGTTTAGCTGTTAGACGTCGAAATTCATAGCACTTTGTCAAATCCTTAAATTATGAATTCTGAAAGATAGACATTTCGAAATTAGGGCATTTCGACATTATGCTAGAAAAGCAAATGCATTGTTCATTTCCAGTGTCATCGCCATGTACCTGGCGTTGGTGATCGTTGTGGGCAAGGTGCTGCGCGGTCTCTTCACCAACCAGCCCCTCGACGTCATCATCAGCGAGATCCCGAACCCGGACCATCTGCTCAAGATCTGCCTCGACATCTACCTAGTGCGCGAGGCCAAGGATTTCGTCCTAGAACAGGTACGCTTCAGTGTGAATTTCGACCGTTTTTCGTCTGAAATTGTATATTTTTCGTATCTTTTGGCAAGATTCGTAAAGTTTGTAGGTTTAGAGATAGTAGAAACAGTGAATAAACACTTCCTCTGCTTGGCTAGAAAACATATATTTTGGTGAAAAATAGATCCCGCTGAAGAATCAAAGACCAATAAATCCTTTCCAGGACCTGTTCGCCAAGCTGATCTTCCTATTCCGCTCTCCGGCCACGCTGATCAAGTGGACGCGGTACAAGATCAAGGACGAATAAGCGGGATTTTCTTTCTCTTCTTCACGACCTCATCATTTGTTGTCACCAAAGAACCCCCGTTCCTAATTTGCTCGGTTTTTGCCTTCTTGCCTTCCCGACCAATTTTGATACCTTAAAGCTAACCAGTGTTGTTTCGAACACCGCAATTTTCCCCTGATTCTTCCCGATCCCCACGAAATCTCAAAATTGCCCCTTTCACCTTTCGAGCTATATAACCATTGTTGTGTATGTTTTCTGGTGCCGTTTTTTGTTGAAATTGTGAATGTTTTTCGTTATTTATCATCAGTCTTCTCCCCCACCTCGGGTACCCACGATATTGGTCCGCATCTTCAATTTTTATTTTTCCCAACTTCTTTTACGGAAATAAACGGATATGATATAAAAATCGGCGATAACAAGGCATGCTTGAGAGAACGTTCAATAAAGCGCAATAAATACGTACATTTTGGAAGGACTTTTGAAACCCGATAGGGATGTTTTAAATAGATAGATGTTTAATTTGGCGTAAAATTCATTAAGTTTTCAAAATTTAGCTACTAAATTCCTGGCTTTGTTTGGCGGCTTTCCAAAGTGTAGGCGGAATTGGAAGTTGTATGACGGTCGGTTCGAAAAGATCCAGCTGGTGATAGGGGTTTCCGGACAGGGCCTGAATCATACAGAATGTTTTCTATTGTCATGAAAAGTTGCCTATCATATGATCATATTTAAAACCCTATCTGAACCTTTTGCGGCACTTCCGTCACCTCCTCAATCTCCAATTCCGGGGCTAGCGTCGGAAAGGTGGGTCCCTTCTTCTTTTGGCTAGGCTTGGGGGTGGTGCTCGGTTTCTTGCCCTCATTCTTGTGCAACGATTCGCGAATCTCTTCTTCCTGAATGGCGTCGAGTATATCGATCGAGTCCTCCTCATCTTCCGGCGCTCCCGGTACGCGCAACTTTTCTTTTTGACTTTGGTATTTTGAGGCGAGGGATGGACCGGCCAGCTTGTCCTTTTGTCGGCGGTACCCTTCGGCCGCCTCTTTTTGCTCTAGAAATATTTATTTGTTGTTTCTGGAGTTTAGATCTTTTTTTTATTTGAGGCTTTTCGGTTCTGGACCCTCAGCGGGGGGGGGGGCAGCAGGGGCAAAACCACTTTTTTATCGTCGTCACATTTTTAGTGTTTTTAGTAGTTTTTGTTTGCTAGGAAGTTATAAAATTATTTTAGACAATTTTTATTTTTCACGCATTTTTGACATTCAACAATTTTCGAATTTTTTATTCTTTTTAAAAATTGTTTTTCTATCTAAAAGCTATGTAAGATGCTATAAAATGGTTTATATTTTGTTTTAGGGCCATAGAGAATCACAGGGAAAACTGTTGTTCCCCCCCGTCTACAGTCCAGAACCGATTTTCCTAGGTTTGTTTTATCACCTTTAGGCGCCCCTTGTCCAGAATGTTGCCTGTAGCTCCTCGCCGCCTCACTTTTCTTAGCCCATTCGCGCTGGAGTTGATCTTCGTGATCACCATTGCGAGCGTGCAAACCGCGGGCCATCTGAACTTTGTCGCCTTCCAAAACGCTTCACCTACCGGCAAGACGAAGACCTGCTCGAATCCGCCCTCTGGTTCCTGAATTGGTGGCAGCGTCGTCGTCGGGGGTAACTCCTTCTTTTCACTTCTGGGGCGCAAAATGGACTCCCTGGTGAGAAATTGTTGGCGGGCGGCTTCACGAGCAGCTTCTGAGGAAAAATGGTGAACGAGTACGCTAAATATACCAATGGCTCGATGCAGCTTCTTCCTCCGGCCGGCGCGCCTTCCGCCGACCGGGGCTCTGGTCGAAATCTCGGCAAATGGGTTCCCCTCGTCCTCGGGGGCTTCACCATCTTCCGATTCGTCGATCGTTTCGTCGCGTAGCCGGCGGAAGGCGTCTATTAAATTTAGTAAGTTAGCCTCGCCAAGCTCGAATTCGTTTGATATGAATAACCTACCCATAAACGGTGCTGGTGGGGCTTAGGAAAATCGTTGGGCGTTTCTTTCTGTAGCTTTGGCATGCCGGTTTTATCGGCAAGTTGCTCTAGCGGTTGTTCTTTGACGGGTGGCTCGATCCGGGGCAGTGTGAAGGGGCTTTCGGTTGCATTTGTCGGTTTTGGGATCTGAACTCCAACTTAATTGGGTGCTAGGTCACGGCCTGTCAGATCTATGGGAAAGCGCGCACGAGAGGGGTTTCCCCCACCCCCCAAAAATGTTAAGAGGGCCGTCGTTCTTTCGCTCATAACTCTTTTCCCTGCCCGTATTTCCAAAATCGTATCGATACGATCGATAGAGAAAAAAATTACGCACATTTCCGTAGGAAAATTTAATATAACGAAGCCTTGGGAACGTTTTTATAGCTTTTAAAAGCTCATGCGCGCTCTGACGGCCCGTGAGGTCCTTATCGGGGGGACCAAACGGATGTCAGGACAGCTTTAATTTTTGCTAAAACTCATTTTGCATAATTTTTTCTAAAATAAAAAACTTGAAAAATTCCATCAAACCTTGCCGACTAGATGAACAAACTCGGAAACAAAAGAGACACCCGAGAAAAACACCCCTTTAGGAAATTAAACCTTTTTAGAGAAAGAACGTAGGCCTTTTGTTAGCTTATACACGCATCGCAAGGGAAGTTTAAGTGAGCGTTTACATTTTTTAGCCAGTTTCCAATAGTTGAAGTGTTATAAAACCTTGTTAAAACTTTAACAAAGGACGTTATGGACCAGTTGAGCGCCTTCCCAACCTTGGTCCTCATTGCCGCTAGCTGGTACAGCTCCTTTTCGTTGGTGCCGAGGTATTCAATGTTCGACTGGGCCATCATATTCAGGTAGACGGCGTCGAATGGTTGCAGCTTGTTGACGTCAAAGTAGCCATGGGGAAATATGAAGGGCACCGCTTGGGCATTTGTATTTGGGTGGAAAAGGTAGAGGATGAGCAGTGAGTAATCGAAAAATGCTCTGCGCATCGCCATCGTTGGGGGTCGATTGGCATTGCCCCCGGAGTTGGAGAACTGGATTTTTCCAGCCCTTCTCCTGCCCGCGTCTCCGCTACGGCTGTCAGCAAGCGCGAGTGAAAATATATGGGCTCCGGGATGATGCTTTCGGCTAACGCAATCTTTGATTTAGCAAAAATTCAATCTTTCCAGTAACATTTTTTTATTCAATTCGGCGCAACACAAGCAATAGAAAACGAGACGAGTTAGACGAAAAATTCTTCGGGTGCTCCGGCTTTGCGCGCGCCGCGGACCGTGTCGATGGCCTTCTCGAAGTCTTCGCGGCACACCATCTTCCGCTGATGTCGCAGGGCAAGCATGCCAGCCTCGGTGCAGATGGCCTGAAAAGCGGGGGTTTGTTTCTAGATTCCGTCCTGCGGGGCGACCTTGATGTCGGCGCCAGACAGATCTCGCTCCCGAGCCAACAGCTCCTCCAGCTTGACGTCCTTGTTAAAGTGCATGGCGCCGGCGTGGATTTGGAAAATCTTCAGCCGCGTCTTCTCATCAGGCTTGGGGAACTCTATCTTGCTGAATTCGGCGGTATTTTTCGAGGTTCACGGCCTACCGATCGATGCGACCCGGTCGGATGAGGGCGGGGTCGAGCGAGTCGATCCTGTTCGTGGCCATGATCACCTTCACGTCACCGCGGTTGTCGAAGCCGTCCAGCTGGTTGAGGAGCTCGAGCAGCGTGCGCTGCACTTCCTGCTCACCGCGAGAAGATGTGTCGTGCCTAAAGCATAACATATGAATGAATTGGAACGAGGTTCGGTACCTCTTGGTGCCAACGGCGTCGATCTCGTCAAAGAAGATGATCGACGGGGCGCACTCCTTGGCCACCTTGAAGATCTCGCGGACGAGCTTGGCCCCCTCGCCGGATTGTTTCTGGATGAGGTCGGAGCCGGTGGCGCGGATGAAGGTGGCGAGCGTGTGGTGGGCGACGGCCTTGGCGAGCAGCGTTTTTCCGGTGCCCGGCTCGCCGTAGAGGATGACACCCTTCGGGGCCTGGATGCCCATCTCCTCATAGAACTCGGGATGGGTGAGGGGCAGCTCGACAGACTCCTTGATCTCCTGGATCTGCTGCTCGCAGCCTCCGATGTCGTCGTAGCTCTCCGGGGGTGCCTTTTCGATCTTGTGGCCGAGGGCCTTGGTGTCGATCTTCTCATCGATGACGCCGACGACAGCAAGGGGCATTCGCTAAAAAGTTATTTGCAAAAAGCCGGGCAAACAAGTTTCCAGAATTTCGAAAAATGTGCAACTTTGAAAGATTTTTCAAAGGTCTTCTTTTCAAAAAATAATTTTCGGAACCTTGCATATAAAACTTTGAAAAGCGCGTAACATCCTTACAGAGACAACGGTCGTCCCGTCCGACGTGATCCCCTTCTTCAGCTTGACCATGACGAGGGCGTTGACGTGGAGCATGTCCTTGTCGACGATGGAGAGGATCGGCACGTACCACTCGCTCTTCATGCCCTCCAGCACAACGACGGCGTGCTGAAATCCTACTATATATAAAAAAATAGTGTTTGTGTGTGTGTGTGTGTGTGTGCCACTTTGCATCCACTTCCGTCTGTCTGTCCGGAGGATATCTCGATAGGGGATGGATTTTAAGGTACGTATGATACGTCATTAGGTGCGCAATGGCCTTGAGATGACTGCACACATATCAAATTTTACAAAATCACCTATTTTCGACATTAAATTTAAGTTTTTGTGAAAACTTCTTTGTTAGAAAAAATTAGCATAGACCGGAAGTGGGGATTCGACTATAAAAATGGACAGGAGAGGATGTTTCCCATTTTTGTCATCAGAATGCAGGGTAATTATGCAAAGGATGAAATGGGGTCAGACGGGGCCAGGGTTGAAAAAGTCGCGAAGCGGCTTTTCAACCCTGGTTAGAAGTAAAAGAACTTTTCAGCGGCATACCGTCTCGTCCCGGAACATTTCGTGGATTCGGGCGAGAGCCGTTGGAGCACCGCGCAGGTCGGACACCTTCTTCCGCTCCTCCCGCTTGGTCGTCTCGAGGGGGCGCTTCAGGTTCTTCCTCCTACACGCGGAGGTAGATGAACAATAAATAAAACAGACTTGATGTATTCCTGTTCGAGCATCACCCAATCGTGAACACGCCATTGGCGCAAGTAGCGCAGCTTGCACTGGCGCTTCGGCAGCACGGTCGGCAGCTTGTTGGTGTGCTCGAGCCCCTTGACGCGAACCTTGTTGGCCACTTTTTGCGGTGCATGCACCGGCTTCTCGCGCATCACTCCTGCATCAAGCCTTCGATGATTCCATCAAACCAAACGGACCTGGTTTGTTTCCCATGTTGAGTCAGAAATTCAGTAGCAGTCGAATAAGTCGAAATATCAGTTTGCAAATGCAAGTGAATCATTGGAGAAAGGCTAGCTGTTTAGTACCAAAAGTCGCATGCAATCCCCCATAAACCCCGGTCATTCAGATGTGTCCCAATCAAATATGCATATTATTTAAAATTTATTGATCGCTAAGGATAAAATTCGGGTCACGTTTAATAAAGAAGTCACGGGCGGGACCGTAAAGTTGCACATTATGGCATCTGACTACAATTCTAGACAAACGGAATAAATACCCACGTTGACTTATGACTCTGAAAAACGCTCTAGGGCTTCCCAAAACGGGTGACCAAGGAAAAGACGAGCGGGGACGAGAACTATTTCTACACAACTAAGGCAGGGCGCGTTGGGAGGGATCCGTGAGAAAACCCAACCACAACGTTGGTCTTATAATGCGGCACAGGGGGTAGTGAGGACAGCTGAGCAGAGATATAACAACGACTAATTGGGGCGGGGCGATGAAACTAGTCGAAAAATTCGAAAGTTTAATGCAGGAGGGCACGAGGCATCGAGTAGTGGTCCTAACGTGTTGAGCCTGGTAAGCGCTCTACTGGATGTGGAGACTCTTCTTGGCCATCTTGACAACGTGATCGGCCGTCGGCAACGCAGCAGCCTCGAGGGATTGGGCGTAGGGCATCGGGATATCCACACCGGTCACTCTGAGAAGGAGAGTCATAAAAAAACCAACTGAATTGTTATACCGATAGATGGGGGCATCGAGGTAGTCGAAGGCTTCCGACTCGATCACCTGGGCGCTGATCTCGGCTCCAATGCCTGGAAAGGGTCATGAAAAAGGACCAAATAAAAAATGATGGTGTATTCGGTGAACTAACTACATATGGATGCGCGTTTCTTTTTCGATTTTTCATATACACTAAAAATTCCGAAAGTTCTCAAACGGCCCTCGCATGCGCTTTTCGTTTATTTCCTATTCCGTTTATTCGCGCCTTCCTACGCACCTGCAAAAGGCCATCCAGTCTCGACGGTCACGAGATGATTCGTCTTCATCACGCTCTTCTTTACCGTTTCGAAATCGAAGGGTCGCAGCGTTCGGAGATTGATGACCTAATCCTTTTTTCGAGAAAACATTTAAAAATTACCTCAGCCTCAACGCCGATCGTGGCAAGCTGCTTGGCCGCCTCCATGGCGAACTCCACGCCCCGAGAGTAGGTGACGATCGTGATGTCGTTGCCTGGCCTGAAAAAAAGAATCATCCAAGAAAAAAAGGAACTACCGTTCAATGTGCGCTTTGCCGATTGGCAGGACAAAATCTTCGCTCTTCGCCTCTTCGGGGAAGGGGAACTGCTGGCCGTAGAGGATTTCGTTTTCGAGAAAGACGACTAAAAAAGGATAAGATTAAATCCCTTTAGGTACCTGGGTTGTCGTCACGAATCGCGGCCTTGAGGAGGCCCTTTGCTTCCACAGCGCTATACGGCGTTACGACCTAAAATCCCGTATGAAATCCTCAGATCTGGATATTATTACCTTCAGCCCAGGGCAGTGCGCGTACCAGGCCGAATAATCTTGCGAATGCTGGGCAGCCACTCCCGCAGCAGCACCATTCGGGCCACGGAAAACAATCGGACAGTTCACCTAGAAAAAATATTAATTGAGCGGAAAATACTAACCCGTCCGGCAGACATATAATACGTCTTCGCCGCCGAGTTGATGATCTGATCAATGGCCTGCATGGAGAAGTTGAACGTCATGAACTCGCAGACCGGGCGAAGCCCTAAAAAGGGTTTAGTATCATAATGTCAGAAAAACCTGCGAACGCAGCGCCGACGGCCATTCCGGCGAAACCCATCTCAGTGATCGGGGTGTCCCAGATGCGATTGTCTCCGTACTTCTTCCACAACCCTTTCGTCACCTAAAAATCAGTTAGAGCAAGTCAAGCTTCACGTCACCTTGTATGCGCCATCGTACTGGGCCACCTCCTCGCCCATCACAAAGACGTTGGCGTCACGGCGAATCTCCTCATCGAGAGCCTAAAGGATTGTGGTTAGAAAGCCCGTGCACTCGCATTATCCCCAGGGAACCCGAAGTTTCCTACACGTCCGGAAGCGCCCCGCAATGAAAGAGAACCCGTCTTATTAAATTCGTTAGTCAATTTTCACCACAGTGGAAGGAAAAATCAGCTACTTTACATTATAAAATCAGCGAACCCACAAGCGGAACGGCAATGGCAAGATTAGCCTTATGTCTGAATCCAAACCTGGTTTAGCGCATCACGGATCGAAATCGTGGAGCCTGACGAGAGCTGGCGACCGCTGTGGGTTGGCGGGCAACGGGCCAGCAGGCGACCGACGACCAAGCGCACCGGCTGCATTACCCAACCTGCAAAGCAAACGATTATTGGTGAAAAGGGGGGTATTGTTGTTGTTTCGCAAGAAAGAGGAATTTCATTGAAACGCACACAAACAGTCGTGTATGAATCGGCTGGTCAGAATATCTGTCGCACAAAAGATTGGGGTTCCGCCTTGAGCGCTGGGTGAATTTGTTGTCAGTTTCGCGGCGGAACGAGCGCTTTTGGTATCAGGTTTCGGCTTCACCGGTCTTTTGAGCCTCGTAAAACTCTGCAAGGTGGTCCGATCAGGCAGGAAAACATGGCGGTTCGAATTTGGGCCGATTGGGATTGGGAATCTGAAGTTACACCCTTATAGAGGCCGCCCTGGTCAATCAGCTAGAGATACCGCCGCAAAATAGACAACACAGGACAATAAACAACAACAATCATGGCGATGGTTTATTCGTGAAAAGTCTCATATTTCGAACGAATACAATGAGTCAGCGAGGTTTGTTAATGTTCAGGACGGCCGCCAGGAATCACTTGGTCGAGCGGGGAATGGTGGCCGACTTGGCAATCTTTGACAGCTCTTCGGTGGCGGCCTGACGCCATTCCTCGTCTTCCGGAGACGGCGCCTGAATTGCGAGGGATCGTCAGAATTAAGGTAATCTCAATTACCTTGTCAATGCCAAGCGGGTCCTTTTTGATCGTGGCCGACGCGTCCTCCCACGGTGGCGGATTCTTGGCCGCGTATTCGAGGGCCTGCTTAACCTTGGCCTGTAGTTTCTCCTTCTTCTCCCAGTCGTACATGTCGTTCCACTTCACTTTGCGGCTTTTCATCACCTGGAGATGGATAAGCTTCTGGGTTGGCTAGTTTTGCCCTACCCCGAGGAGAGCATCCAAAAAGATAGCATAGTCCGGCCGGTTGTAGCAGTCGAGCGTGCGCAGATAGGGGATGACTGGTAGCATTTCTTCTGAACGAATCATTTATTGTGACTAGATGCTTGTCGGAGCGTTTTAAGCCTGAGCAAAACTTCCGAAGACCAACTCGGCAGGTTGAGGCAGAGCGTCTCGTCGCTGATGTGCAGCTTCATCGTCTCGATCTTGTCCTTGTCGCGGGTGGTCTGCCAGGGCAATCCGCAATGCATCTCGATTAGCACGTAGAACAGACTCCAGAGGTCGTCTTTGCGGCCCTGGAAAAGATAGGGTTAAAAATTGAATTGAGTTTTCAAAATTTCAGTTTTTCTTTTCGAAGTTTTCAAATTCAAAAATTTCAAAAACTAGTGCTTACCAAATTGCTTTGGAGGGTTACAAAACTATACCTGCTCCTGCTTTTCGTGCACAGCCGGGCTGCAGTATCGGAGAGTGCCGCGAAATTCGGCCGAACCGCGAGCCCTTCTCGCCACCCATCGCGTCGGGTCTTTCAGCGACCGGAAGGCGAAGGCACGCGACAGCCCAAAGTCCAGGATGTGCACCATGCGACATCTAAAAACAAGTAGCTTCCGCTTTTCTAGGCCCTACCTCTCCAGATCGTCCTTGTGGCCGAGCACAAAGTTGTTGGGCTTGATGTCGCGGTGGACGAAGCCGTAGTCATGCACCGTCTTGATCGCCACCACGCACTGCACCATGATCCGCGACCACGAAGACGGGGACATCAATTCGTTCGGGCAGGAAAGCTAAAGAAAAACTTTTCAGCTAACTGGTGAACGGGCAATTTACCTTGAGATTTTTGAGGTTGTCGCCGAGCAGCGTCATGATCATGTACGAATATTTCTGGTGTTTGGCGGCATGGAGGACGAGGGGGATGTGGGCTTGGGCGTGGTCCTTGTTGAGACCTTTCAGCACAGAGATCTATACCATTATTTCTAAATGAATTTCGGATCGTTATTTCATGCCTCGAGCTTGATCGCCGATCCTCCCTCGACATCGTTCGGCTCGGCTTTGAGGGCTGCGAGTTTTCCTGGTTCCTGAAATCGAATAGGCTGAGGGCTTAAAATTTTTGAACATCTTGAAATTCATAAGGAATTCCATTAAAAGAAAAATTTTTAGGCAATTCCGGCGGTTTTTCAGAATCCAACGGTTGGCTTCCATACCTTGCGATGCTCGACGAGATAGACCTGCCCGAAGCCGCCCTCGTCCAACTTCTTGACGATGCTGTAGTCGCCGAAGCGCTTCCCACTGGGAACTTGGCCGCGACGTTTTCTTCCTCGCCCATCTACCGCCGTTGCACTGCTGTCGGTATCGGCGGCCCGTCGGGGAGAAGGCGTCAAATACGAAAGTGGCAATTTTTCTGCGAGTTTTGCTTTGTATTTAAATCCCAAGGGAAATTAATCCACTTCCGATCAATCCTGGGATGCTAATTAGAAATATGCAAATTATGCTACTTCTGCCGCCATTTTTTTCTTCGTATTTTAGTGCTCGTTTCAGATGCGTAAAGAACCCAAGGTCGGTGAGAGATTATTTATGTCGTTCGAGACTAGTACAATTAATCCAATGTAGAAACAATGCAATATCAAGGGGGGAGGAATAACTAGATGATCAGTTTTGTTCGTGGAAAATGAGACAACCCGAAAAAGCAGTAAGTATGCAGTAATGGGAGTGGACGAGCGTGGAGAATTAGATACAGAGGTCGGGTTTGTGCAAAAAAAGTTCATGGATCGAACAATAAAAAGCACTGGCAATGAAATGGGAGAGTACAGGGCATCGGAGTGGTGGATAGCTTTCTATATTCGCTCGGAGCCGGCGATCGGCAGCCCACCTGGGATCATGTTATCATCGTCTTCTGCCATCATCTCCTCAATTTCGTCGTTTTCGCGTTCGGCCTCGTCGACGTCGGCCTTTGGAGGGGCTGCACGTTTTCCATTTCGTGCTGGAAATCAGGAGATTCGGATAGATCGATTAAGCGGACCTGTTTGAGCTCGCGCACCTTCATCCGTCAAATGACCCGCATCATCAGAATGGGTGGTTCTTGTCAAAAGTTCCTGAAACCAAAGGTAAGGTACAGGTTTTGCGCCATCTACTTGTTTTGGAATATCTGTTTTCGCATCATTTTCAAACAATTTCCTCGAAAAAAATAGCGCACGGTCAAAAAAAATTTGATGGCAAAAAAATCGTTTTTTTTCACTGGGAGAACTAGACTTTTGCCCAATTTTCAGTCGGCCAATCAAAATATAAGACCAACCATTTCGTCGTGCTCCTTGGCCGGCTTCCCCCAGAATCTCTGCAAGATTCCGCGCACGACGCTGCCGGGGAGCCGCTGATGCTCTCGGATCAGCGCCTTCACCTCGATTTTGATCGCCTTTCGCACCTGAATTCCAGGATATTTAAACTACAAAGAAAAGCCCACCTGCTGTGGCGTCACGTTCTCAAAATCGAAATACATGGGCTTGCCGAGGTGGGTGATCATCTTCACAGGAAACCCGCCATAGATCGGGCACAGCGGCATTTTTGTCTTCTCGTATACCCATCTAAATTCCATTGATGCGTCAAAAAAATTGCCGGATACCTGAAAAACGAGCGTCCCCATTCGGGAGTTCTAAAGGCGTCGCGACAGTTCTCGGTGAACATCGGGATTACGGGCTAAAATTGGATAATTTAGATTCGACGCCCTGGAGTGTGGCGTACCGTCTTCGAGTTCAAAACGACGCGCGCGAACCCAAGTCGCTTGCCCCACATAATGTCGTAAAGATGTGGGTCGGAAAAGAGCGCTTCTCGCACACCTAAAGGTGTTTTTAAGGTTTAAAATACTTCTCGGGAAATAAAACCTCCAGGAGCGATGCAGAGTAGATGCCCGTCGTTGAGATTCGCTGTGCAGTCTTCGACAGTTCCGGGTGTTACAGAGAACAGCTTGCAAAGCACGCCCCAGCCTAAATCGACAAAAATAGAACCATTCAGCAAAAGTTTGCACAGTTTAAGTTAAAAACCCAAAAACAACTAGTCGGTATCTAATTCATACCTGGAATTTTAAAGATGAACTTGTCTCCGACGCAGTGAAGTGATCGTCCCTTCACGACGGTAATCTTGAAAAATACGTTACAATAAAGTTGTGCCGAATACCTTTGAAATGAGGTAGTACACATCCAAGGGAAGACAGCCGTGATAATAGATGAAAAGCGCGGGTCCGGTGTCCGGGACGTTCTCGATGCCATCCACCTCATATCCTATTTGAACAACAGGTCACGGATTTAACTTTTTGCTAACCATGCCAGACATGACCGATGGCGTCCCAGAAGGAAGCAATCGCCACTCGTGCCCCGTCCCAATAGGAAGTGTGATAGGCCTGAAAGGTTGCTTTACCGCAGTATATAAAGAAAAAAAATCACATAGTAAATTATCCCACCTCCCTAATCCGATTCCGAAGCCCATAAATGTGTAGGAAAATAATGCAACCGTAGATGAAGATCACTAACAGAATCGGCAAGACGAAAATGATGATCACAGGTAGAAATAGCCATAGTAGATACTGAAAACAATAATTTTACAGTTGCCATACACAAACCATTTGCTCATTTTGGCTCGTGTTGAAAATGTTTGCGGAAATGACTATATATCTCAGGGCGCGCCACCCAAAATAAATATTCCAGCCAAAAATCGATGCCCATTCACGGGAGAGCCACATGGAAAGTCAACGCGCCGGCCCCGTTTTGGGGTATTCTATTTCCGGCAAAATTAAAAATACAAACCTCTAAATAATCGAGATCAATATGATCGACGGCCCACGTGATCCACAGAAGGAGTACCTGAAATTGTGCCATTAACTACAAGAACCCCGGCGCATGAGCCAATACGCCTTCAAAATTGGCAGCGCGCGATAAGATAATTGGACGGTCACGTGATAAGAGAGTACACATTGCGACGCGCTAGATGACGCCCACCAACCTCAACGTGCGGTCGTATCCATTCGGGCCAGGCCATGCCTTCTAGGTCTCTTATTAACGCTGATGCTTCAGCTGCCGCATGACCCCCGCCGGCAGCTGAGGACATCTACCTGGAAAAAAAATATCTATGAAAAAGACGGGTGCGTCAAATTCGAGCAACGAATGCCTTCGAAAAAACAGCCAGAGTTTTAGGATAGAGCAGGAAACCGGCGCGTGTTTGTTCTATCTTCCCAAGAGATTTGCAAAACACTGATAAAAATGGCCGCGACCAAAAGCTTAGAGTAGGCGAAAAATACTTTGAAATCTTTATACCAATCTCAATTGTCGATGTACCTATATCACAATATGCTGCGGATGTGTCGGGTTTATGTTATCACAACATAGAAACAGGGGGTAATACTGCCCGCAAGGAGTCGGAATTGGGGAGTAGGGAAAGTGAGTAAGGGATTATGCATATGACGGAAAGAAAGAGCCAATCAAGAACGATGACCCTCGTAAATTTGACACTAAAGCTTCGGGGGGCAAATTGCACAGCAAAATGTGGGAAGGTGCGGATTTACATAAGCAAAGGTGTTGGCGGGGCACGGGCAATGGGATCATCCCTGTACAAAATCCAGGCATGTTTCTGGTTGTCGATGGCGTAGGAATAGGCTGATTTGACGACCCATCCGTCCCTCTCCATTGCATTCACGACAGCCAACGGCGACGCTTTAGATGTCAATCGAGTGCTATAAATTTAGCTAATAATCGTTGAAACGACTCTTTTGAAGCTTTTTCTGGCTCTAAAGCTGGAGTTTTTAAAATATGGAACGTGCCAAGGAGTTCAGTCTCTATGGAATGAGTCTGGCCACATTGTAAAACGGCGATATCATCTAAAAATCCTTTTTATAATAAGCCCTACCATTGACATCTTCCCGGCGAGTGCTTCTGGCAGAATACAATGTGCTCGTCAAGGATGTAGTCCGGAAGATCATAGAGCAGCCCTTCCCTCGATACCGTGCAACTAGAAATTTCTTTAGCATAACAAGGCGACTGACTAACCCCTTGTTTGACAGTGAGTGTGCTGTTATGACAAGATGTGGCATCAACTCTAAATTGACAATAATTTTAAGAAAACGCAGTCAAATAATATGCTGGTTGCTTCGAACCGTTAGTGTTTCATGTAGAACATGAACAAAAACTGTTTATTCACTCTAACCTAGCTAGGAAAAATTGCACGCAATTAATCGCTCTCCAGAGCCGCGGACGCAGGCCATCGCCCGTTGTCGAAGATGACGACCGAACCTAGAAACAATCAAAAATAAAAACAACAAATCTCCATACCATTGTTTAAAAGCAGCTTGATTTTACTCGTTCGGTATTCTTCACTGGGAGACGCTCGCATCGCATAAATATCAACAAAACCCGCATCGATTTTACCCGTAACGGGGACACGCAGCTGAATTCGAAGAATGGGTTTTTATTAAAAAGCGACATACCATAGCTGTATCTTTGTCCAAATAATTCCTTCGCCGATCCGCTAAATCCACAGCGCCCACTTGAATCGGAGGGCCCAATGCGTCCTGTAATACTAACCAATTAAATTAGCGGACAACGATACCTTTGCTTTCTCGTGCTCACTGATAATTGTAAGGGCTTCTCGGTAATGTGGCAATTTCCTGAATACAATATACATTTCACCAGTTGGAAAACATACCTCACCCGATTTTGCATATATTTTTGAGCAAGATAGAGGCCCATGGCGCCAGTTACAAAAACGCCTGCAGCAACGTGGAGAAGTGTTGTGTGTTTAACCTAAAAAAAACACAAGTTGAAAAAGCCAAGAAGCGTACCTTATTCAAACCGGACATTGTCAAATTTACAGGTCCGATTCCACCGCATTTGCTCCTACAAAACCCTGAAAGCGGATCTCGTGTGCAATGATCTGTTAAGAAGGAAAACACAGAATTGTTTATTCTTTCTTGTCTTGATGAAGCGTCCAAACGCATGTCTGCCCAATTCCAGCCATTGCCACAACCCGCCAGCCAAGCGACTCGCAAATATTCAGAACTCGAGACGGGGGATGGGGAGACACCCATCTAAAGACTAATAAAAATCGACCTGTTCTTACTCCGGAAAAGTTCGGCCAAGTTCCTGGATTGGCTTAGCCTCACAGGCGTCCGCTAATTCATCAGTGATTGTATCCTTATCCCCGACAAAAGTGGGCCCAGTCTCTAGCCGAATGGTTGTTGAAATTAGCAAATAGGGCATTTTCGGGGTTGCGCTGGCCGTAATGGCAGGGCGGAGTGACAATGGAATGGATTGATAACAAGCGAGAGACACGCGCAAAGACCGGTTTTCCCAAAAAGCTTTCTCGAGACAAGTATGGCCAGTCGGTGGCAACCGATCGGAAAAAATGCAATTGTTGATTCAAAAATTTATCCTCTTTTGATCACCGAAATGTAAGACGTAAATACCCGGGTTGCATTGAGTTCACTTCGTATAGAAAAAAATTATAAAGCGTCCTTGGCCATCGGCGGAATCATGCTCAAGCCTTCGTCATCCTGAAAATTAGGTTATTGGTAAGAAACTAGAAGGTTCCAAAAGACCAAGTTGACCAAAAATTTGATTTGTAGCCAAAAATATAGAAAAGAACAAATTTTCAAGTTTTAATGAAAAGCTTTCCACCCCCGTTAACAGCACAGAACCAATAATACTTACATAATAGCTGCCGTGGCCAGCACCGATACGCATGACGCGGGTGAGGTAAGTCGGGTGACAGTGGATGCCGCATCGAATACGAGCCAATTCCTTCCGAGCGTCATCAATCCTAGGACCACATTGAAACGAATAAAGATATCTACTACCTTCCAAGCACATCTTTGACAGCACCCTCGACGATCGCCTGGTTCGGGATATCCAGATGAATAACGTCGCCCTCGATGTCATATTGGAGTCGGCCAGCAGCACTCAGTCGGCGGCAAAGTTGCTCGGTCTCTCCGATGTTGCCGAGCATAGCCTTAGCAGTCAAGTCGGCAAGACGAATTCGCTTGTAAGACTAAAAAACGTTGATTCAGATGTAGCACGGACTACCTTAGCCACTTTCAGAACGGCACGCTCGGTGAGAACATTGATCAGGGTAGTCATCATTCGCGTGGCGCCATGCTAAAAAAGATGTATTAACAAGCAAGAAATCCTACCTTTTCAAAGGTCGACCTATTTTCCTCAAATATCTTCCGGATCACTGCCACAGGTTCCGGGCACCTCGAAGCGCTAGCAAGGCGATTGTACAAGACACCCTCCTGACGCCAAGCCCTGCTCATGCAAGCCGAGCGAGCATGGAGCGGCGTGTCCTCGTCGAGCAGGATTTCGAGAATGACCCAACTAAACGAGATATGTGATATGCAAGGAATAATCGTGCTTTCGCAAAATCGTGAGGCCGAATTTTTCCTTCTAGTTTTTTTATGGACTTCCGTCGTTTCTCTGTTCGAAAAAGTGATTCATAAAGGAAGCATTCTATCCCCTCGCCGAGTTTGTCAATATATATGATACCAATAACAACTCACTGCCTATGGCCAGCAATCATCAACGGCGAGACGTCATTCGATGGGAAGGTGATGAGGCTGTAGTAGAAAGCAGCCGACGTCTTGTAATCGCCAAGGGCGAAGGCCACTTCTCCGCCGTAGCGCAAATACATCAGCACGGATTTCGGCTCGATGATGGACTGGGAGGTGGAGAATGTGACGTTGGAGGTGGTCGTTTGGCGGACAAGATTCTAAACACGATCCGGATAATTTCCACTGCTTTAGGAGATACCTCGTTCAAAATGTTCTTCACTTTGAAAAGATATGGCAGGGCTCGCTCGGGCTTGTGTGCCTGTAGGGCAAGGTAGAAGAGATAGCCATGGAGAGTGGTCAGCGTCTAGAGAGACGTCATAAAAACGCTCGATTAAAACTTACATTCGTCTCCCGGTCGACAATTAAATCGATGCCTAGCGCCATCAATTCAAGCCCGGCGTCCAAGCGCATGGTGCTGAGCACAAAATCGTGGGCCTTGCGGAAGAGACGCACATCTGAAAGGCTATAAGAGCATGGAATGACACTTACAAATATCGATAACAACCATCACTTGGCCGCGCTGCAGACTGTTCCTCGACAAGTAGTTGAACAGGATCTCAAAACATCTTTCCTTGACCTAAAAGGAAATTGACAACATGAAAGAAACCCTCTTCTTACCGCCGAACTGTTTTTCTTTTCGCCGGACTCGTACATGATATATAGAGCGTAGATAATTGGAGCTCCATGCGTTGCGGAGTCGCATTCCGTCAAATACGCCTCCAGATCGCCAGCGCGCTTCAACTGAAAACGTATTTGTGTTTTTCTAGAAAAAGCGCTTGCCAGCAGATCTTCGTTGCTCTTCAGAAAAGCGGCCAACTCGCTGTAGTCCAAAGGGTTGGCAGCAGCCGACCTAGGCGTTTCGCGAATGAGGGCGTTGACCCGCTGGACGAATTTGTCAAAGTTCTGGGCCGGAGCGGGCTTCTGACGGGAGCCGCTTGGCTGAAAAGGAAATAATTTTTTACTTTTCGAAGATCAAACCTCTGCTGGACTGTCGTATTCGAGAACCGGGTCTTCGATGCGTTCAATCTCATCATGTGGCGGAACCCTGGCGGCAAGCTAAGAAAAAAAAATATATTTCAGAATAGAAAATAATTACCGAAGGATTGTTGGGCACATCAGGCACTTTGTCGCCACCCTGCGGATCCATCACATCATCTGGCCCATCCATATTACCTGAGAAATTTATATTCTACAACTATTTACAAAACAACAAAAAGGAATGGAAGACATGACCAGAAATCAAAAGAGAAGAGAGATCAAAAGAAAGCGGGTGACATTGAGTGCATTGTGTACAACTGTTGTGAAAGCTTAGAATAGAGATCGTTTTCTCGTTCCTCGTCCGGCTCTTCCTGGTCAAACCCGGTGAAGTGGTCGGGGTAGAGGGCAAGGTGCAATCGTGTCACTTCCTCGTGAGCCTTTTTCATAGACTTCATCAAGGAAACCTAAATTCAGTCGCCCATTTACTTTTGTCGTTTCCAACATACCTGTCTGTCATTTAGACCACGCATTCGCCCATTTCTGAATTCGTCGAGCAACTCCATAAGTGATCGCTCTTGCTCGTCAAGCTCACTATTTCTCTCACCACGATTAGTGGCTTGATTTATGGTCCCCGGCTGAGGTTCCTCATATTCGTCCATTTCATCCAGGTTCCAGAAAGACCCGCCGACATCCAATGCTGTCTGAAAATCATTGCTAACTTTTTTCTCTTTCTTTTTGCCCTACCTGAAATTCGCCAGCTCGCGGGTCCTGCCATAAATCCAACTTCTCAGGCAATGGCAACCTATCTGGTCGCTCAATAGATTTATCGCTTTTCGGCGATTCAGCACTAATATCAAGCTTGTGCCGCTCGTCTTTTTGGTCGCCCGAGGTTCCAAATTTACCCCAGGTAAATCGGTGGATAATATTAGAGATACTAGATCCACTAGTATCTTTCCTTTTGCGGATAGTATTTTCGTCTACCGATTTCCTAGCACGCTTCTTCTCATCGTCCTTGCCGGCAAGGCCTTCTTCGAGTTGCTGGATGCTAGTCGTAGCGGCAGTGGAGAAAGTGAGCTTGGGCAGGCGAATGTCTTCATCCTGTTCGAGTTTTGCGGCTGCTGGCTCGCAAGGCGGCGTGCTCGGTTCGCCGTGGCCGCTTGATTGGGTGGTGTCCATGCGTTCTAAAGATTACAAATGTAGTTGAACAGTTCGGCAATGGATGGAACAAAGTCGGCAAAGGGGCAGGTAAATAAACGGCTCAAGCATGACAAGGCTGTGGAATGAGTAGTGTTACGTACATCCGTGGGGAGAGGCCGAATTCGAGTTTAGAAAGTGCGGTTTCGAAAGGAAATCACCACATTCCGAAACGAAAAGGAAGCATTTGTTGCTAGTTTTATTTTTATTTTTCTAAAGGTCCCTGTAAGGGAGATACGGAAAATGTTATGGATCAATTACGACATGAAAACCTCAGTACGAGCCGCTCCTCCACATTTTTATACGCAAGGACTATCCTCGATATCAATTAAATTCCTTTAGGTTCCCGAGAAATGCTTTCCTCTAACTAGTGACCTTGCAAAACGGAATTGAGATCTATAAGCCGTTTTCTATTTATGTATCTCATGAATTGTTCGAGTAAAATCAATTAATTTTAGATGTTCCGGAAGCCCAAGAATAAAAGTGCCATCCGTCAGAGACAAACCAACGCCGAGGAACCTGAGCCAAATTCAGCGGTATGCATATTTTAGCAGTTTAGATATTTTTCGTTTTTTAGTCAATCGAGACGGACAATGGGGAAGCAAAGCCGACGTCCCTAATGGACAACGATGATGACGTGACACCGAGCAGCACCGAACCAAAGAAGGCTTCTCTTTTAAGTTTTGGAGACGAAGATGGTCGGTGCCCACGATTTTTTTGACGAAACTGGGTTTAGAAGAGGAGGGCGAAATATTCAAGCTGAAGAAGGACAAGAAAAAGCTGAAAGACGCGCGGCGTATGAAACGATTGGAAGAACAAATAAGAGACGTCCAAAAAGTAGAGATTAAGGAGGTTGGGTGGTATCATAATTGTCTGAACTACCCCTCTCAGGAAATAGACGAGGAACTGGAGTTCACCGTCATACCCACGGGACTCCCCGTCAAAGAGGTTGGATATAATTGCATTTTTAACCTTTTTTTTTTTAGGAGCCTGCACAGGACGAAAATACCGATTACTTGGCGCGATATGCTCCGGAAAGGAATTCACGGCCAGCTGACCTCAACGATCGAAAATTCGAAATGTGTGATGAAGACGATGAATACGATCAAGAGAGGGAAACTCGTGAAAAATTCCCAGCGACGTTTAGTAAGCATTTAGGCGGATTTCTTTAGTTATTATCTAGGTGGGATCCCTGACTCAAAGGCGGTCTACGAGGCTCGGAAGAGGAGGGAAAAACTGAGGCAGCAAGGCCATGACGGCTATATTCCACTGGATGACGACCAAAAGATTAGGTATTGAAAAAGGGTGATAGAAAATGAAATTTAATCGTGTTCAGGCAAAAAGGAATTCGAAATCGGCTAATTCGTGAGGATGAAAACGATGATTCTGATGAGGATACGGAAAAGTAAGTTGTTAATCGAAAATAGAAGTCTGACTGCTTAGGTTCTACTCATCCCGAGCAGATGCCCTCGAAGAGGACACAAAGCGCCGCGAGCAACAGACACGTTTCCTCGAACAAGAGGTATAGTATCTGGGGGATTAGATTAAAACCGGCATTAAGGAAGCCGAGCGGAAAGATAGCGATGAGGAGATGGAGAGATGGGAACAACAACAAATTCTGAAAGCCGTTGGCGCAGCAACGGTAGTATAAGTTTTGAAATAAAATGTTGGTTTTCTTATAGATCGGTCAAGTGAAGCACGAGTACGAGCTGACCACCCAGTTCTTCCAACGGGTTCGTGAAGAGGATGAGGAACGCTCGCGCCCAATTGAAATGGACATTGATATGGACGTGGATGATGTACACCCCTCGCAAAGCATCCAGCCCGAACCGTCCGCCTCCCAAACATCAATGCAGGATATTATGGAAAAGCTCTCGCTACGGTAGGGCAACACTGATTCTTCTTACCCTGATTTAGCCTGCGCGACCGGGAAGAGCACCTCAACAGCTTGCGCAATAACGTCGAGAAAATTCAGTCAACTATCGCGGAGAACAAGGAAAGCCTTAGGTAAGGGTTAGCAAAAATCTCTAATAATGTTTTTATTAGGAAGTTGGAATTCGGTGATGGGGACAAGCAGAGCACCGCAAAGGAGCTGAGCGAGAAGTACAAAATGTATCAAGATATGAAGCTCTACGTGCGGAGTCTGTTGGACTGTTTGGATGAGAAGGTAGTTGGTTGCAGCATTTGAAACCCGAGCTCTTCAGGCTCCGGAGATCAATGATCTAATTGCAAAGCGGCGCGGGATTGAGAAAGCTCGGTTACAGCGTCTGATCACCCGGTAATTTCTAGTTTGTGATTTTTACACGGTTTTTAGGCGAAGAAAAGACGTCGGCGACTCGTACGATGAATGTTCGGCAGCGGCGGCTGGGAAGAATATAGCAACTATTAGAGTTGGAGAGCACGGGATGAGAGCTGCAGAAAGAGAGGGACGCCGGTGAGCAATATTAACTAAAAACGGCTTATTTGCAAAATTTTAGTTTTTTTTACATAGTACAGGGTGTCCCAAAAAAATCCCCGCCGCCGGCCGCAGAGGGTCCCGGTATTTTTACGATTTAGGTATCTATCGAAAGCTTCCAAAAGGCGAGTCACACGTCTTTTCGATTTTCATAATTTGGAAATTTTTCCATCAGTTACTAATGTTTTTTATGGAAAGATGGGCGGATTTCTTTGGTTTTTTTCTTACCAGGGGGTTTTACAAAAAATTTAAAGGGTTTACCAGTTTTCCTGGCCGCCAACACATTTTTTAAAAGCCGGTTGAAACAACACAACCGCCCCTAGACCCGCGCTTAGTCCGGTTAAATTGCGTTTTGAACAAAAATAGTTTGTCCCTTTGGCCTGAAAAATGCCGAAAAATCGAGCAAAAATTCCGACCAAATCCGCAAGACGTGCTGGACTCGCCTTTCCGGAGGCTTTCGTTAGAAATGCTAAGATAGATAAATCGGGCCCCTGGGGGGGGTTTTTTTGCTGGAAAAAGGAATATATGAATTGTATTTCGACATTGAGATTTCGATATCCTGATAACAAATGAAAAAAACGACATTTTATTGCAAATTTAGTGGCCGAAGAAGACGTGAACGGGAAGGGCAGCTGCAGGGGATTTCGCATGAAGACGGCCTCAGCACTGATGATGAAGAAACGACCTCAAGAATCGTGGCTGACAACGAGGGAAAAGCTGAATTAAATGCTGCCCTTCAAGTTGTCTTCGTCGACGCCCTCGATGAATACAGCAACATTTCAAAAGTTTTGGGTAAGCCGTCACCTCAACTTTTCATGTAAACTTCTTGCTTCAGATCGCATCATCGATTGGCTGGTCGTTGACGGAAAATCTTTCCAAGATGCCTATGTCCATCTGTGTATTCCGAAGTTGTTGTCTCCCTACATACGCCTGCAGCTGTGCCAAGCTGAAATTTTGAAGGTACGTTTCGTCCTATGCTTAACTTTGCCCTTTCCAGGACCCTAACTTCCGACTCGATGACCAGGCCTGGTACACGGACATTCTGACGGCCGGTGCCTCTTCAGAAATTGATCCGCAACATCCGGTAGTTGTCGGGCTGTTGCCAGCAATTGTTGAAAAGGTTGTTGTGCCATACCTCACAGGTTTGTCCCGTCCTATTTTTGCCGGCTTTTAGCATCTCGAATTGTGTGTCGCCTTGCGAGTCAATGCCCGTGCAAGTTTGCCGTTTCAGAGCTTGTGGCTGACGAATGGGACCCGCTGTCTTTCCAGCAGACGCAGAATTTGACGACCTGCCTCAATACCATCATCCGAGAATATCCGACGATAACTTCTAAGTGAGTGGCTCAATTTTTTTCCTGGTTGATTTTACTTGGGGGCACTGGACTGTTAGCGGGGGGCAAATCACCAAATTTTTCCCTGATCCTGACGACCCTACAAACTCATTATAAATAATTTTATAGTAATGACTTTTAGTTAGTTTTATCAAAAGTCAAGAAATATCGAAAATTTTTGACTTTTCGGTAAAAAATGGCAGATAAACGTCATTGACGACTTTTCGAAAATCGCTAAATTTTATTATAACTTTTTATCAAAAATTACGAAGTACACGAGAAAACTATATAGTGTCGATAAAAAAGATTATTTTCCTCTTGGTATCCCCCCGATAACAGTCCAGTACCTACTTCGTCACCCAAAGCTTCCGTAACGTTATCTAATCCGAATTTTCAGATCAAAGATGGTGAATCGACTAGCGAATGCCATACAAAAACGGGCCAAAGACTCCGTTTCCGAGGATATCTTCATACCGATGTACGCTAAGCAGTAAGTAGTTTCTGTCTAAATAAACAATCTGTCCTAGGGCCATCGAAAAATCGAGCACAGGCTGCCGCGCATTCCTCGATCGCCAATATTGGACGGCCGTCAAATTGTGGCGCTGCCTAGCCCTGTTCTCTGGCTTTTTCTCGCCCTTCTCGATGCATGACTTGGTTTTCGAAGGGGTAGCTGCTAGATGTTGCGGGCTTGCCCTGCAAGTCGGCGAAATCAGCGACCCAAGCGTCATTATAAAAGTAAGCATTTGCACGCCTCACCAAGTCTTCTTTTTTTAGGTCAAAGCTCTGATCGCCGAGACGCGCAACGAATGGATGCCCTATATGAATGTTCAGAACATGCGCTCCCTTCTGGGTATTTTGAATGATATAGCCGACGCTTTTGAAAGCTCCAACAGGTTTGGCTTAAATAAATTCTAATCGTCTTCTTTAGGGATTTCGCAAAGCAAGTGCGCCGCTATGTGGAACGATTGAAAACTGCCGAATAAATATCTCTCTTACCCGGTTTTTACCTCTTATTGATCGTGCTTTATAAATCGTTATACTTTTATCCTTTTTGGGGTTTTTTTTGGAGAAAGCGTCTTGTCCGCTGCTATTTTCCGAGCAATGGGATCCATTTTTATGTATGCTGTCTTTTAGATGAATTCTCGTAAACAAGTAGCGTTGGTGATTGAACGATATGAGCGGATAGCTCGAGACGAGGTGATGAGTTTCTTGGTCTTCAATATCTCCGGCTTTTTTAGATTAACTCCCTGAAGCGACTACATGTGCAAATCGTTGAGGGCAATAATAGAAAAGAAAATACGAATGCGCTACAAGCACAGGTACGGATAGCATTTTTTATTGTAACGCCCGCTAACAAAAATCCGTTGCTTCATTGTAATTTTAGGCAAAACGTGTCGAAGATCAACTACTAAAAGGGCTGGCCCAAGTTATGTCGACCAGGGCTGAACTGGAACCAGAATCCTGCGAAGAGTTTGACTTGAAGATTGAGCCCGTACGATTGCTGATCCAAAGTAGGTTTTGAGAAATCTGCTAACCAAATTTAGCGACAATTAATGCTATTCAAAAGGTGCGCGCATCTACCCCCAGCGTATCAACCAACCCATTTGATCTAGGTGAAGAGGTGAGAATGATTTTCTGTTGTCGACCTTTTCCAGCACAGCAGATCCTTTTTTGAAGGAATTTTTGAAGAGCAGGTTTGACTCCTTGGGAATATCGGGGGTTTTTTTCGGGAATTCCTTTGGTTTTATCTTTAAAGATCGCCTTACAAATCAAGATTTCAGGACGAGCCGAACATTTATGCGGAAGAAGCCCGCCTTCAAATGGAGAAGACTATGAACAAAAATTCTGAATTAAAGTGGGACAATGCGAACTCTCATGGTTTTTTCTTAGGATCAAAGCCGAAGAAGCACGACTGATGGCCGAGGAGTCTGTGCGGTTGGAAGCGGATGTCCAGGATTTGAACGAAATCTTTACGCAACTCCAGACGATCGTACATGTTCGTTTATTCCAGTTTTCAGTGTGTTTACCGTGATTTAGCAACAACACGATATGGTTGACTCGATCGAAGAACATGTCGAGCAAGCGCGTTCTCAAGTCGAACGCGGTAATCAACAATTGAAGCAGGCCGTCAAGCATAAAAATGCTAAGGTATTTTTTACGCGATCTTGAAATTTTTGGTGATTTAGGTGCCGGTTGTGACTGCCGTTGTGGGAGGATTGGCTCTTGGTGGGCCGGTCGGCATCGCGGCCGGCTCTACAATTGCCGGCGTGGCAGCCGCCGTTGGAGGAGCCTTCGCAGGTAAACATTAATTTTTATTTCTTACCTCGTTTTCAGGGCTTTACGGTGGTCGTTGGATGAAAAAGTCGAGTAATGAAAGTGCCAATGCCAACTGAACCCCCTTGCTTGACTCCTTTGCCTTTTATGTCGCATTCTCTGTCACCCTACTCTCCGTTGTCTGTCGCATTCTCCTCAAATCTGTGATTATATGCTAGTCTTCATCAACCCGGGTTATACCTAACTGTTTTGACATTCCGCTGCACATATTTCCTCCTCACGGCCGCCCTGTCCAAATTAGCTTTGTGAATTACGCAAGAATAAACCCATTCAAACGACTCTTTTTCGTACTCATCTTTCCTAGGTTCATTGCAATTACTACCGACATAGATGGCAAACTGAAGGGGCCTCATTTTGAAATTTAGATGGCGGTTTTGATAGAAACTACGCTCGGCGATTTGGTGATCGACCTGTTCGTCAAGGAACGCCCAAATTGTAAGCGTTTTTTTGCGATCGAAATGTCTTGTTTTAGGCAGTCTCAACTTTTTGAAGCTCTGCAAAACGAAATACTACAATTTCTGCCAATTTCATCACATCCAGGTACGGTCCCGTTTTTGTTGTCTACGCCCTTTTAGCAAAATTACATCGCTCAAACTGGCGATCCAACCGGATCTGGACGTGGCGGAGAATCTATTTATAGGTAAAGTAATTTTGAATTCCGCAACAACTTTTTAGCTCACTGTACGGCGAACAAGCAAGGTATTTTGAGAAGGAAGAAGTACCGAAGTTACGCCACAACCGACAAGGTATGCTCGTAATTTTTACGCGAAAGTTGCTTAGGGTTGGTCTCGTTTGTCAACAATGGAAACGGAATGCTCGGTTCCCAGTTCTACATTACTCTCGGCGATGACTGTGACTATCTGGATGATCAGCATACGATATTTGGACAGGTTTGTGTTAGATCGGGGACGATGTGCGTCCATTCTAGGTGACCGAGGGCATCGAAACGATAGAGAAGCTGAATGAACAATTGTGCACCGACGAACATCGACCATTTCGAGATATTCGAATAGCCCACACGATTATTCTTGCCGATCCGTTCGAAGATGATCCTCGCTTGGAGATTCCGGCAAGGTCGCCATCGCCAACCTATGATAGGATCTTTTCGGTAGATTTTTTCGTTTTATTGGTCACTTACTGATTTCAGGGTGGCCAAATTGCCATTGATGAGGATTTACACGATCACGAGGGCATGACGGAGGAAGAGGTGAACAGATTGTCGCGGGGAAAGACCAATGTTTTTAGTTGAAACGAGAAATGGAAGAACGCGAGATGCAGGCACAGGCTCAAATCCTCGAGATTGTAAGTTTTTGAAAAGTTGGAAAGTGTTTCTTTCTTTATTCTCTTTTAATTTTCCCTTTTAGGTCGGCGATCTACGCAGCGCCGATGACGTCCCACCGGAGAATGTGCTTTTCGTATGCAAGCTTAACCCCGTTACTACCGACGAAGATCTGGAAATTATCTTTGCGAGGTTGGCCGAAATTTCCTTGTAATGTATATTCGTTTAGATTCGGGAAGGTTGAATGCTGTGAGATTATCCGTGACCGCCGAACAGGGCGTTCTCTGCAGTATGCCTTCATCGAATATTCAGACGTAATGTTTTACCCGAAACTTTAGTAGAATTAATTTAGCCCAAATTTGTGGAAGCTGCCTACTTGAAGATGGACAATGTGCTGATTGATGACCGACGCATTCACGTCGACTTCTCTCAATCGGTTTCAAAAAATTACAAATGGCATAAGGGACAAGGAGGTATGCGTCCTGTTTTTGTTGATCGGAAAATCCTAGGACGAGCAACGGAGATGAACGGTCAGGGCAATGAGAATAGAAAGCCCGTGGAGCGGCGTCGAGATGATAGGGTACCTCTTTACCATACTTGTCGCACTCGCCTTGTTTAGAAACCGGAAAGACCGGTTGAACGCCGTCAACGCTCCCGATCTCCGAGGAGAGAGCCGCGGCACGAAGAGCGGCGAGATCGTCGCCGGGTCGACGAACGGGATCAGAGGCGAGAACGAGACCGCCGTGAACATAGGTATATTTTTGGGCCTTACTTTCGTAATATCGGCATAGATCGAATTTCCTATCGTTTGTGATCAACCTGGAAAAATTTTCAAAATGTGAAATTTTGATAGAAATTGACCATTTTTGGTCGAAAATCTGTATATTTTAGTTTAAGAAAACGGAAATTCCGCGAAACGAAAATATAAAATACAAAACCAGAAACATCCACGGAAATCCGAGAATTGTTGCATACATCTACTTAATTTTTCAGGCGCGAACGCGAACGCGAAGTCGTCGTCGACCGTTGGGGCGAGGTGCAGAAGCGAGAAATCAAGCGCGAAGCCTCGAGTTCACCAGAACGCTCCAGGAAGGATAGGAGGTATTTTTCATATTGAATTCCTCTAAAAAATTCAGGCAATCATCGCCGAAGCGCGCACGTCGCGACGCTTCACCGGCGCGTAAAATCAAAAAGGAGGTTGTCAGGTATAAATATCTGCTCAAGACCCCAAAGTGCCAGTTTTTAGCTCGGACGATGAACGGGACCGTCGGGACAGAAAAGATAAGAAGAAAGAGAAAAAGCAGCGCCGGTAGGCCCTAGCTTTACTTGCCCCTTCAAATCCAATTTTAGCTCGAGCTCAGGCAGCCGAAGCCCGTCAAGACATCGCCGCAGATAATCCGCTCGCCTTTGATTGTTCAATGTCTATCGTTAGTTATTGGTTTGTTATTGAAGGGTTTTTCTTTTGTACGGTTTATATGTACACTGTTGATCTCGATAAATTTTCAAAAGTTATTTTTTTTGTAGCATCGAAAATTCAGAGGGATTGTTGGATTTTTAGATGCGGTTTTTTGCATACGGCTGATGTGTGCTTCAATTTTTAAGGAACTCGCAGCTAATTCATCGTTCCGATTTTCCAATAGACAGAGCGACCTGTTTTCCGCATTGTTTTGTGGCCGGGCCCTAGCGGGAGCCATTTTGGCACCCTGGATCGATGCGGGAGGCACCCTGTTGTGTCCTTCTCTCTGCGTCTCTCCGTCTCTCAGTCGGAAGTCCAATACTCTTCTCGCCGCCACTGGGGCAACCCTTAATTTGGGAGGCTCGAAATTTCAAGAATGGGTCGGATGAGTTGGCACTGGGGCTCAAACTCAATCCCCGAGTTTTAAATAGATTTAATTTAATATTCTTTTTTTAAAGGATTAAGTCACTGCAAAATTTTAGTTTGTTTATTATCTTGCTTCAGGTGTCCGCTGTCATTAACCACATTGTTTTACTGAACGTCATCCAGAAATTCCTACTCCTTGGCCGGCAGCCAACCGGTTGACCTGACGTGATATCGCCCAGGTCAACAGCTGTTTCCTGCAAAGAGCGCTCCTCGCCCTCTTGTCTCCCCTTTTTATTTGCCTACACTTGTGGCCATCACCGATTCATTGCCACATTTTAACCCCACTTTTTCAGTGCCGCTTCCACGGATCTACAGCTCGATTTCTTAGCGTCATGACCGGCTAAAGGCCATCTGTGTTCGGGGGATGAAGCGAAATAAAACGACAGAATTGTAAGGGATTAGTTATTGTATGTATTTTGATATCGTACAGGCTTCACAGTACCTTGAAATTGAGCAAATTTTTTGGGTGGCAGACTTTCTGATGAATTTTCCCAGCTCCATGGCTACACGGCTTTTCGAAACCGGGCAACAAGCTGCGTCATTTCTTGGAATGAGCTCGTTGGAACGCGATCGAAGCCAAGGCTTAGCTTATTGTTAGGCTTAATTCTAAGCGAATTCTTTAAAGGATCGAGGGTCTGGCTAGGCTTGAGTTTCGTAATAACCTACCTAGCACCGCCTCCCTCGTAGGATTTTCCGGCTGAATAGGTCCCATTTGGGCCATTGGGACCCCCGTATTTTTACGATTTGTTGCCAATGCCCCGCCCGCGCGCTTTGAACGCCTTTTTGCAGCTTTTACGGAGATTATAGTAAGAAAAGTGTTTTATTTTAGCTGTATTAGATATTAGGCATGATTTTTCAGATGACCGCCACGTCTTCAATTATTCTCCCGGGCCCGTCCTCAAAATCGGAATGCGTCCGGGTCGTGGTGCGATGTCGCCCGCTCAGCGAGGGCGAGATCCGAGAGGGCCACCAAAGGTATGTAGCACGCAATAGATTAAACATATCTTAAAAATTCTAGCTCAGAGGGCGTTGGGTGAGTTGTTGTAAGCTTTCTGTACTATCGTTTTGCCGCTTAAAATTGCTTTGAAGACCAATTTGAGAATTTTACGGAGCAAAGAAAGGCATGAAGCTAGCAAAAGCAGTCATTTCGAGAGAATCATAAAATTAAATTTTGTTACAGCATCATCGCGATGGACACAAAACGAGGTCTCGTCGAGCTGAAAAACCCGAAAGAGCCGAACGAGCCGAGCAAAGATTTTACGTTTGATTCGATCTACGATGGAAGGTAAAGTAATATAGGTTACCTCCAAAATTACTCGTTTAGTTCAAAACAAGCTGAACTTTACGATGAGACTTTCCGGGATCTCGTCGAATCCGTGCTCGACGGATTCAACGGGACGATATTTGCCTACGGACAGACTGGAACTGGGAAAACGTACACCATGGAAGGTGTGTGATAACTGAAAACACATCCCATAGCCATTTTCAGGACGCTTGGATGTTGAAGGAGAGCGCGGAGTGATCCACAACTCGTTCGAGCACATCTTCTCCCACATCGCCCTCAGCCGCAACCAGCAATTCCTCGTGCGGGCCAGCTACCTCGAGATTTATCAGGAAGAAATCCGCGATCTACTCAATAAGGACTCAAAGGCTCGACTGGAATTGAAGGTTTGTCTCTATGCTCTAGTAGATATAATTTTCCAGGAGCGCCCGGATGTCGGTGTGTACGTGAAGGACCTTTCGTCGTTCGTCACGAAAAGCGTAGAAGAAATCCAGCATGTAATGCGCGTCGGAAACGCCAACAGATCCGTCGGGTATCAGCAGCTAAAATATTTCTTAATCCATTACAAATTTAGGCGAACAAACATGAACGAGCACAGCAGTCGCTCGCACGCCATTTTCATGATCACGGTGGAGTGCTCAGAGATTGGACCCGACGGCGAGACGCATATACGGTAAATTATCTGGTCAAGGTAAAAACTACTTTTTCAGGGTTGGACGTTTAAATTTGGTGGATTTGGCCGGTTCCGAACGTCAAGCAAAGACTGGGGCAACTGGGGAACGCTTCAAGGTAAGGATTGCAAAAAAGTGCTTCGTAATCGTCTAAAAAAGTGTTAAATATAATTTTTGTTTTAGGAAGCCACCAAAATCAACCTCTCCCTCTCCGCCCTGGGTAACGTCATCTCGGCGTTGGTTGATGGAAAAAGCACACACATCCCCTACAGGGACAGCAAGCTGACGAGATTATTGCAAGGTAGGCCTGTGAAAATAATTATTGATATTTTTACCTTTAGACTCTCTTGGTGGCAACTCAAAAACGGTGATGGTGGCCTGTATCGGGCCCGCCTCGTACAATTTTGAAGAGTCATTAGGAACATTGAGATACGCGAACAGGTAAAGATTCTCTAAAACCTCCCAGTTCAACCATATCTAGGGCTAAAAACATCAAGAACAAGCCGAAAATCAATGAAGATCCTAAGGATGCGTTGCTGCGCGAATTTCAGGTATGTAACCATTTTCTGTGAACTGAATATAAATCCCAATTTTAGGAAGAAATCAACCGTTTGCGAGCCATGCTGGCAAATCGGAAAAAGAAAGGCCGGGAAGAGATCCGCCAGGAAGAGAAGCAAATGGCGGAAGAGCGCGAGGCGATTGAGGACGACCATTCGATGCGGGAAGAAGTATGTAAAAAGTTTTGATCCAAAAAAATCACTGGTATAGGAAAAGCAGCGTCTACTCTCCGAAATCGAGGAACGACGGCGACTCCTCGACCAGGAGATCGAGGCACAAGCGGCTGTGGCGGCAAAGATTGAGCAGATGCAGAGCAAATTGCTATCTGGTAAACTAAAGAAACATAAAAATATTGTTAAATGCAGGAGGCGCCGATTTGTTCGACCACACCAGGAGGCAGCAAGATGAGTTGGAGCGGAAACGGAAAGAGCTGGCGGATCGAAAGGCAAAAATACCCATATTTTCCAATATTATTCTTGTTTAGAAGCTGGAACGCGAGATGCTCGACCAGTTGGAGCAGCAAGAGGAATCGGTGGCCGAGGTATAAAAAGCTCTCCTAAATAAGCTTTCAAACGTCTGTTTGTTTTGTAGCTGGACACGACTTTCTCTTCACTACGCCAAGAGGTTGAAGCCAAAGCGCGGAAGCTGAAGAAGATCTCCATAAAACTACAAAAAGCCCGTCGCGAACTGCAGGACCTCCACATTGCACATTCCGACGAGCGCAGGGAGCTGGAGCGGGACGTCTCCCAGATGAACATGGAGCTGAAGCTCAAGTGAGGGAACTTTTTTTGCTACTACATTCTCGCTTTCTTCTTTTAAAAATCCTAAATTCTATGCCGTTCCTCGGGTTGCCACGCCGGCGAAAATGGAAGCCAATTTTTGTGCCTATTTGCCAAGCAGCTCACCGATCCCCCATACAACCGCTGGGGCTTGTTTTCTGTTTGCCGGCCCCAGCGAGAAAGAGCAAACATTTTTTGGAAATTCACCCCTTTCCCGCCTACTGGCAGCTTCCGTCAGCGCCAAAATACGTGCACGAAAATGGTTTTTTAAAGGATTTCTCGCGATTTTGACATTTTTGACATTGATTAATGATGTATATGGTTCTGGTTTCTTAGCGGGGGGGGGGTTACAGGTGACTAACTTTTTGCAATGTTACAGTAGGCGCCCTATAATCAAAAACAAATTTTTTTACTAGCATTTCAAAGTCAGTTTATAAAAACCTCATAAAAAAATAACTAAATTAACTAAATAAAATATATATTGTGCACTAGATAGCCCCCCCGCTAACATTCAAGTACCGCGATTCGTGAGGCATATTCTGACCTGGAGCACCACCCATTGATCCGGCATGCACAGGGCCCGAAAAAGTGTGAAAAGTGCCCGAATGGACCGCCGCCAGGCGGCGGCTGACTGGGGGTAAGACCAGCGCCGCGGCAGCGGCGCAGATTTTTTTGAAAAAGCGATCAGAATTCGGAGAAAAATGAGGAAAATGTATCATTATGGCATGTAAACCCACACTTTTTCTGTCCTTCCGATAACATTGATCGTCTGTGTTGTGAAATAAATATTTTTAATAAATTTTGTGTTGCATGTTATACCGCGAAGCAGTCTAATTAAACTGAAGAGGATGATGACGAAAACCGAGCGGAGAAAGTACATGGACGACAATTCCCTATAATTGATTCTTGCTAAACTTCCTATTTATTCCTACAGACTACAGACCTATATATTCTTTTCACGTCAACGTCAGCTTCTGATTCATTCCAAATTTTAGACGGTTCCGACCAACGATGATGACGCTGCTGCCGATGACGTCGCACTACAATTCTGGAATAACGACGGCGGAATACTAAAAATATCGCCACATCCCGCCTAAACTTCTCAATTCTGCCCCTGGAATTATTTTAATCTACCGGCTCAACTGAAAAAGCTACAAAAATTCAGAAATCGTTTGCTACTACTGCTACTAAACCCCAGAAAATATTTGGAGCCGTTTGGAGTATCGTTTCGGAATTCCTAACCCCAGAACCTAACGTAAATCAGTTAAATCCCGTACTCGGCGCTCCTCTGGACGATCGGCTCTAAAATCGTCCTGCATAATGTACATGGTACCGTACATACTCTGTAAAAAAATCTAAGCGATCCGATTCGTTTAAGGTACCCTCCGGGACCAGCGACTGTTTACCTTAAAAATCATTGACTTTGGGCATCGGACATGTTTTGGTCCCCGTTGACCCCCTTAACCTCAACCGATCAGGACCAAATTTGTCCTGCATATACTACAGAGTGTGCTTTGTCGGATCCAATAGCTATTTGCCCCATTAGTCTCATAACCTCGGAGCTTGGGACCAGCGAATTTCGAATCTTTTGGGCGGAGGTTTCAGTTTTTCCTGCTTTATTCTCACATTTCGGATTTTCGTAGTCTGTCCTCTCTCCTGCATAGAAAGCTTTTCTTTCTCTTTATTTTGATATATAAATCATAAAATTCGGTCCTGTCTACGCGGAGCTTGGGACCGGCGACACTTTGGGCGAGGTCCCTTTTCACACTTTTATTAAGGATTTAGCCCCTGAAAAATCATATCTTTTCAGTTTCTGCCTCGATCGCCCTGAAAATCGTCCTGCATAATGTCCACGATACCGTACACATTAGGTAAAAATATCTAAGCCATCCTATTCGTTTAAAGTACCCTCCGGGACCAGCGAATGCTTACCTTTCACACCTTTATTAAGGGTCTAGCCCCTCAAAATTCAATCGCTGCGGCCCTCGGCTTTATCGTCACCAAAATCATTTAGCATGATTAGCAGGCTATCGTATACAATGTGTAAAAGTTTCTAAACGTTCCGCGCGCTGTAAGCCACTCTTTGGGACCGCTGAATATAGTTAAACATAACATGCAACACAAAATTTATTAAAAATATTTATTTCACAACACAGAGAACGCATCCAAAATACATAACGTAGGGGCCTTCTTTAACCAGGGGTAATCAATGGCGCCGAAGGCGCCGAAAAAAATGCGATATTACTAGCCCTTAAACCAGCGCCCAGACCCGTTTTTGGGACCAGCGCCCACCGGGTTTTGCCCAAAGTCTTCGGGCCCTGGGCATGCATCGCCGGAAATCAAGGCCGTCGAGTGTGCCCCCCATATGCTGGATATGATAAGTGGTTGTGAGGGGGGAGTGAGTACGTACTTTCCCATGCACAATCGAGTGCTGCCCCCCGGGGGGATCGCGCAGTCGGGGCTGTTCCCCCATGATCCCCTGCTCACCTTATAGGCCTATATTAGTCGCGCGGCTCGTGCTGGTTGTGACACTTGGATCGGTACTGGACCGTTAGCGGGGGGGGACGTCTAGCTCGCCCGAAACTTAACCCCCTACCTACCTAGACTATATTGGATTTTTTTTGTTGTTTTTAGTGGTTTTTAATGATTAAAAAAGCCATAAAACTGTTTAGAGAATTGCAATAATTTGCCCTGTAAATAGAATTTGCGCTGAGCCGATCCTCCTCGGACGTTTTCCAAAACGAAAATTTGCGCATGTTTTGTCGCAATCGCCGCCTGCTAGGCACAATTATTCAAATCCGAATTCGTGTTTTTCGGGCGTAATTCAGAGAACCCGAAACTATGCTGGATTTTTAGTTTTTCATGCTTGCCTGTGTCGATATAGGTGGTGCACCATCATAGTGCAATTGGATCCTCCCCATGGCATTGCGACTGCCGCGACAAATTGACGCCCGAGTGGCCAATTTTCGGAATGTGCATTCCCCAGTCGGCTGTTGCTATTCCCCTTTTTCGCAACACGACTATGACCCTTTGTTTTGGCTAAAAAGCGCTAAGTAGCGGCTTTTTCATACTTTATTTTGGCTCGACATGAAAATACTTACAGAATAGGTACTTTCTCATTATCGGGGGAGGCCAACTTTTTTTCTTAGTATCCAATTTTTCGAATATAATAGCGCAGGTGTTTCTAAACCGTTTTTTTCCTATTCTTGGACGTAGAAACTATATAAAGTTTTTTAAAATACCAAAAATACCGATTTTTGGCCAAATGGTCACCTAAAAATTTTTAAGGGATTTTTTAAATTATTTTTTCGTTTTAAGATAGAGTTGAGTTAAACTAAAAACTATTAAAACACCTACTATTACGTTATCAGTCATTTATGGACTTACGGAAAAATGGTTGCTCACACCCCCGCGCAACTCCTCCCTCCCCCCGATAATGCAAAAGAACTGAACACCGAATTGGCCTAACTATGTCTATTTTGAGGAGCAGTATGGATTATGTTTTGGCTCCTTTTTTCCTTGAACCAATGACTCTTTTTGAGCCTACTCTTATCAGATGAATTCCTCGGCCTAGAGAACTCAAAAAATTTCCGCTGCGATTCCATAAACCCCAAAGAAATAGGGAGCTTTTCCCGTCCGCATTCCATCCTCATAAATATCCACGAGGAGCCCCGACAGGGATGGCCCTAAATGGGGCAACCTGAATGGGCCGCCGCTTATGAGAGGGCCCACCCGCTGGTCGATGGGTACTTTCACGGGCCATCCTCACTCTTTTGTCCCTCCCCCCTGACAAACGCCCATCTTTTGCTTCGATTCCCCCCATTGCTTCTCTCTCTATCTCTTGCCTTCTCTTTTGCTGTCCCTTCCGTTTGTCCTCCTCCCCTCCGGGCTTGTGTCCAAATGACCCACCCTCCAGTGGGGCCCATGCACAAGCACGAAATACGGCCAACAACTGCCCGCGGCCACTCTTGCTTTTTTATGTTTTTACCCTGGTAGCGGCTGCAAAAAAGCCCGTGCTCCTCCGAAAGGCCACGCAACCGACAGCTGGACCCGATTCCTGGGTTGTCAACGATTTCCCGTGATTTTAGGAACTTTTTTTGGTCCAAAGGTTAGTAGCGCTTTCCAGAATTCGTAGATAAAAACGTGTAGCTTTTCTTTTTGCGCATTTTCATGACTTTTTTGTAAAACACGCTCTGACCCTTCAATTCCCTACGAAAATCAATTTAATTTTGGCGAATAATTGGTTTTTCTCCACTTGGTTTAACACTTTTTCGGAACTTGACTGTTAGCAGGGGGAAGCTAATTAAAGGGAATAAATATTGTGTATTTATATTTTCTAGGAGTTTTTGATTGCTAGAAAGCAACACAAAATTATTGAAGCATTTTCGAAGGTAGAAAATTTTTATTTCATTTTTGGGTCATCCTTCACACATTTTTGACCAAAAGGCAAAAAGTTCGAAAGCCTTACTATTTTTTTATGAGCGTGTTATCCAAAAGCTATGTACAATGCTATACAATTTTTTAATGTTTGTTACAGGACTTTTTGTTTTCTACCGCACAGATTACTGGGTAAAATGTGTTTCCCCCTGACAACAGAGCAGCACCGCTTTCTAGGTAATTTTTATGGGTTGTCACTGATTTTCAGATATTTGGGGGTTGGCTTCGCTTTACTCCTTTCCGTATAACGGGTCCTCTAATTGCCTACAAATTTTAGGGGAAATTTGTCGTGAAATCTACTTTTTTCTCATTAGCTACAAGATTTTCTGGACCTAGCCATGTCACTTCCGAATTGTCGCCGACTTGCCCGACTCACCGTTATCGCCGCTTTCCGGGACACCCCCCAAATTGGCTTGTCTCCACCCGGACTGACTCCCGAATGCATCCATTTTTCCTCCTCTTCCTCCTTTTTTCTTCCAGGCATACCTAGCGCCCCCGGTCCCTCTCCTCCAAATCAATGGCTCGGAAGGAGAAGACCTTCACTCAGAGCCCTCATTCTCCCCTCCCTTTTTTGACCCCCTCACCCGCCTCCTCAATTGTCGTTCTCGCTCACCTCACGGGCGAGCACACGCAAGCACTTAGCCCGTGCTCAATTTCTGCCAGGAATTTCCCGCTCGGCGATTCCTGAGTTTTTCATTACTTTACCGTTAATCGTTACCAGATTTGAAAGTTTTTCGAAATTTTTTAGAAGCAGAAATCTGATTTTACTTTAGTAATTTTCGACGCCGCGATCCCTAATTTTTCACTGCAATATTTTTCTTGGAATGAGCTAAAGCGAACCAGACGCTTTTTTAAATTCGTTGGAATTTCGATTCGACAATTCTGTATTTTTTACTATATTTTTGCCTTTAATCGCCACATTATTTGTCAGGTTTTTTTTTGGAAAGGCCAAATCAAAGCAGGAGACTTTTACGTTACCGGGAATTTCGATTCGGCGATTGCTGATTTTTTGTTATTAACCCAGCCTTAATCGCTACCGTATTTGTCTTTTTTTAAATATTTAATTCCACAGAAGCCTCTTTTCCGGTTGAAGATTTCTACTAAGATTTCCTTAATGATCAACAATCACGCTAACTATGGTGTCCCCCAAAAACGAGGCCGTAAATCCTGTACGACTCGCGGCACCATCCCCCTCCCTCTCTCCCCATTTTTATTAGCGGTCTCCCAGTTCGCCCATGCACTAACCAGTTGAAATTTGGCCAAAAAACACCGTAAATTTGTAAATCCACTAGACCCGGAATTTTTTTTCTTCGGAAAAACTCTTTCTTTTTAACTTTTCACGAGAATATCTTTTTTCTTCTCTGCCTGTCACGACGCATTTTCGGGTTTCGTCCAGACTAATTCGCATTAGAGGGTCTGTGATCCCTTCTCTACTCTTTTGCCAAATTGATTCGGCGGTATATTCGATTTTTAGGCTCCTAATCGTCGAGAACTTCATCCCGTTCGACGTGGCCGATCGGGTGCGCACGAAGGCACACTGGGACGACGAGGCGAGCACTTGGACGCTGCCCGGGGCCCGGCCACTGTCACAGGTGAGCTTATGTTATTAAAAAAACGCTGGCCTGACTTGCTTTAGGCGAAACTTAATCGCGTTCTGGTTCGTTAGCGGGGGGGGGGGAGGAATTTGGCAAGGAGGCCTGGAAACTTTTTTCCAGGGTGGCAGTTCTTAGACCGCCGATCTGCGATCGTATAAGTGAGATGGCTAAGGAACTCTAAGTTTTTTATTAGCATTTCGGGCTCCTTTAGATATAAAAATTCATAAAAAAAATAGCAATCTTCGGAAATTCTTGATTTTTGTTTAAAAAGGGGTTTTGCTAATTATAAATTTCGAAATTTTTAATTCTTAGAAAAGGTTTTTATAATTTTGAGGCGGGAAGCTGGAAAAAGTTAAGCTGAATAAACAAATCCCCCCGCCCGGTAACAAACCAGTGCAATTTTAGCCAAACTTTTTTACCAAACTCCGGCTGACGATTCCTTTTTAGGATACGCGCACCCCGGCACGACCATCAACAGCTGGACAGGCCTTACTGGGTAGGTGGCCGATCCCGCCGTATTGCGTAGGTCTCATCAGAGTGCCGAGGATCGGATTACAATCCCCGACCGACCCTCTCAATGAATTATTGATCTTCTTCTCTCTCTCTCCATCTCGGCTCATTAGGCTTCATCCTATTATTTCCCGGGGTGTCTGTTTAAACAATAAACCGCTACCCCTTGTAGTCGACGGCCTGCTATCGCGTTCTTCCGGCGGCGACTCGGGCTTGGCGGGCAGTGAAAGCGAGGGCGAGCGTCGCGACATCCTTGCAAACCGACCGGTAATTTTTAACCTAGGACGAGTATATTTTTTATTTTCAGCTCTCCGTCCCTGGGCTCCGTCGGCCGATGAGCGCCTGGGAGAAGGCGAAGATCGACCGGGCCAGGGAGCGTCTCGCCAAAATTCGAAGACTTCCCCTCAACCAACCCCCACCATCGACAGTGCACGCGGTAGATTCGCTTGTAGATAATAACCCCATAAATTTCAGCTTTTCCCCGAAGACATCCTGCGCTTCTGCGGGGAGAACGTGCTCGTCTTCACCACCCTTGAGAGGCCGGAATCTGGGATCAGCGAATATCGACCATGCTCGTCGCAGGTAGGGAAAGAAAGTTCCTAAGAATTGTCAATAGAAGTGTATTCTCGCAAAACTAGCAATACTCAACCCATAAACAAAAAAAAAGCAAAAATTCTAGCGCCCAATGAACGTGGAGATCGACGCCTCAAAGCTGGTCTCCAGGCATCGACCTCAACGACATGCTGCCACAGCTCCCGCTCAACGGTCCGTTCCACCTTAAAAACTTTATGCCAAAAACTTCCAGACCTCGCTCCGTCTCAAAAACGGACGCGCCCGCAGCGCGCTTGGCAAGGCGAACCCCGACGAATCTGGCTCTGCCCACACCGCCACCAAGGGTAGGCCCAACTCCAGGGCGTTCATGGCAATCCGATTTTTTTAGTGCCCGTACCTTTATACCCGAAGGCACGCGGCCTGGTGGGCGGTCGGCGGGCCCTGTAAAGCTGCCGAATATCATCGACCACCCGTCCATCATGTCCAAAACAAGACTCACCCCACCCCCGGCGCCCGTCATCTGGGATCTGCTCGACGCCAAGCCGTCCAGCAGCGCCTCCAGCGATAGTGAGGGCATCTGCGCTGACTGTCCGTCGCCTCGAGAGTGGGATGCCAGGTTGGAGGAGTTCATAATGCCGAAATTTCAACCGCAGAAACGCATAGGGACAACAAAAAAAGGAGTGAAAGAAAGGGAGAGAGAGAGAGAGAGAAAGCGAGAGAGAAAGAGAGAGAGAAAGAACGAGAGAAAAATGGCATTACACCACCTATTTTAGCTTCCACGCCTCATCCTTTCACGGGCAACTCCCCAATCTGATGATTGGTGTCGATTTGGCCGAGCTGCTCGTCCCGCCGTTGGATTTGAGGTACGGAAAACTCAGCTTTAAATTGAACAAGGATCCTCGGTAGTAAGTAGATGATGAATAGCATTAAATCCGCGTTTTCAAAATCTACCTTTAGCGAACTGGTCGACTCGCCGGGAAGACGTTGCGCATCGGTGCCTAGGCCCGATTCGCGCTTTGATACGTCACCAGTCCCGTCGATGAGCCGCTCGTTTTACAGGTTGGTTTTGCAACATTTTTGCGGGTTTTACACCTAGTTTTGGTTTAAAAAACGAGCAGAGAAATAATTTAATTTAGCGCCGAGCCCCGTGCCACCCGTATCCCAAAACCAGCCAGTCTGTCCTCGTCCTTCTCCGCCACCTCGACGCCGCGCTCGAGAAATCCACGTCCGGTGGCCTTGTCGGCGCCATGTGGCAGCCGAGAGCAGCTTTGTGAGGGGTTGGTTTTTACTTCCAATTTTAACTTTTAAAGTTTGCTAATAAATTTAAATTTACTTTTCCGAACTACGTAACATAATCATATTTTTAGATATTCCGATCTGCATTCCCGGGCAAGAGAGACGATAGCCAGAAGCCAGCAGGGCACGCCGAAGAGCACCCCAAGAGCTGATGAACGGTAAAACATCCAACAAACGTTTAACTCCTTCAATAGGAGTCTCCTGTTCAGTGCGTCGACCCATCGCTCGATGTGTGGCGGCTGGGAGAACCCATCGACCTCGTATTCACAAGGGCCGCCCGCTGGACGTCTTCTGAATCGGCCTCGGATGAACCAGTTCGACAGTATGCCAAGGATGGACAGGGTTCGTTGTAGTTCGTGTTTTACTGTCCTCGCTAATGAAAAAACCCGGAAGGTTTTGGTATTCGTTCGTTAACGGGGAGGGGGAAGGTAGGGTTATCAGGGGAAATTTAACTTTTCCGTACTTTTACGGAGATTAGCCCGAATAAAGCGAGACCTCACCGGCTAACGCATCAGATCCCATATTTCTTGAATTAATTTTTTAGACGCGCCGACAACGCGACCATTCGGCGGATCTCTCACTGTCCTGCAGATCGGCATCCTTCTCGAAATGGCGTGGCCCGCCGAAACGCAAGGCGATGAGCGGTAAGTCGAGTTTTATCAGTAATTTATAACATTTTTCAGTTTGCTCTGGTGCGTCCTCGTTTGGGTACGATATGGACAATTCGGTCTTCTTACGATTCGAAGAATATTGTCGAGCAACGACGGCTCGCCCGCGGAGAAAGGTAAACAATTTTCGCGGGATTTTAATGTGATTTAGAAGCCGAGCCTCGCGCAACCGACAGCTGTGAAATCACGTCGAGGTCGATGTGACGGTTGTCGCCTGGATTCTCGACTCAGATCGAGGTGAGTCTTGGGATTCAAATTTGGGCTTGGCTGAGCTTTGGCATTAACGGGGGGTATTTTTTATGCAAAATTTGGCAATATTTTCAGTGCAAAACTATCTAGAAAATAAGATTAAAAGATTTGGATTTTTATCGAATATAGATTTTTTGTGATTTTCTTCATCATTTTGCGTTTATGAATTGTAAAACAAAGTAAAAAACGGTTCCTAGATTCTATAAGATCAATTTAACTCTCTGAAAAAATTCTCCCCCCACCGATGTAAGAGAATTGTCTTGTCTAGTGCACGATCTCAAACTCGCTCTCCTCAACGACCACATTTTAGAAGACGTTGCCGGATCGAGAAGACCTACGTGGTTCGGCGGGACCGTTGTGTCTGTGGCCGTTCACCAAAAGCCAACACCAACAAGCCAAACGCGCTGCAGCACAGCGTCTCCCTGGACTGGGCCATATTCTTTGCCCTGATAGCCCTTGTCTTCCGAATCCTTCTCGCCTTCTTCTAGCTGGTATCAGATACGGTAACCCATAATTGAAAGGACATTCCACAGTGGCGCTCCCCTCCTTCGGCATAGGCTATAGAGTACAAACGCGTTTTTAAATTAGAACTCGAGTAAGCCGGCTGCCCCCCCCCAAATGGACCAAAGTCGATGATTTTCCAAGCTCTGTGATATCGTCACACACAGTATTCGCCAAGCCTTATTTTTCCTTTAAAAATAGTCTCCTTAGAACTCTTCGGTTGTTGGGGGCTGACCGCAAAATTTTTGCAAGTTTGTGGATGATCACGCCCTCCTCTCCCCACCTGACCCCTCCTAAAAGTTCTGTGAAGTTCGCTGCGGGCTCCCTATTTCCTTTTTGTGTGCTTTATTATCTTTTTAATTGGATCTGAAATATCCCAGAAGAGAAAAACGATTCGTGTTAATTTATTTGGTTTTTGCAGAGATTGCCTGGCGTCATTTGTGACTTTTTTATGTCCTCTAGAGCCGCGAGATAAAAATTTCAGATTTGAATACGTAATATTGCACGACGGAAATAAATACAAACAATATGAATATATTTGATTCCGGAAGTAGTGAAAGTGGAGCGATGAAAGTCGGCATTCTCTTTCACTGAGATTTCTCGCCCGATTCGATGGCTGCTGCGGGCTTCGAGACCAAGTGAGATTTTTTTCTGGCGGAATTGGCAGAACAAATCAAAAATTTTAATAACTTACGTTAGACGAAGTTTGAGCAGTTTTTTTCAACGGAAAATGCAAGACTTCGGCGAGATCTATAGACTTCAGTCCAAAAAAACCATTTTGCGGGGTTACCGCGAAGAAAATTTCCCTTTTACCTTGCAAGCATGGGCAGGCTAGCCGAGATATTATGGGCAACCGTTTTAACTTCCGCTTCCCAGATGCCTATCCGACTTGCGCTCGTTGGCGACGCTGAACGACGGCGAGCCGAATCGTGTCGACCTCTACGTGCCGCCCGTCCTCCGCACCGGGCGCATCGACCCGCAGGGCTGCCAGATCACGGCACAGTACAACGAGGCCACCCAGCGGTAGCCACATAGCCCTAAATCCATTTCTTGGCTTCAGCATGCGCTTCAAGTACCAGCTGTACTGGGATGAGGTCGGGCTCGGCTCGGCGGCCGCCAGAAACGACAAGTCGCTGCTCTCGAGCAGCCGCGACGTGCGCACAGCCGTCCAGGATCTGCCGGCCGTGTTGTGCGACGGGCCCTGCGGCAAGGAGTACGCGCCGGAGCACCTTATTGTGGGTTTCTGGACCTTGGATCCGCCTAGATTAATAAATTCTACTACGACATCCACTTCTGCCTGTTCAATGTTAAAGGGCTGCCGACGGCATGTGTCGATCCCCCCCTCATCAACAAATTGGCAAGTAGCCAACATGGGAGAGAGCGCGCCCAGGGGAGAGGCGCAGAGACATTTTCTTTTCCGCGCGTAACCGATTGACTATGCCGTCGGCATCCCTTTAAGCCGATTTATTTTTTTTAGACAATCGGCCTCTGCGGCCACTACTTGTGCAATGACTGCTCGCAGCAGAAGACGAAAGGAGGTCGGTGGACAGTTTGAAGTCTCTAAAGACGCATTCTAGGGATGATGCGCTGCATGGCCCCCTCCTGCGACCAGGACTACAAGGACATGTGCAACAACACGAGCCGTGGTAGTAGTCGCGTCGAGCGGCGGCTGTCGTTATGTTCGGCGGCCAGCGAGGAGCCCCCGCGCAGCCGCGATACGGATGGCTGGCCGAACGAGGGCACCTTGTGCGGCACGCCGAAGCAGTTGCAGTCCCGCCCCGTAACTCTGAAAATATCCGGCAAATATTGGCTCAACAGGCAACGGCGTTGTACACTGGCCACTCGTCGGACTGGACGCGCACCATCACCCCGGTGCTCTCCGTCGAGATGGTCGTCGTCCGCGTGCTCGTCGTCAAGAAAACCGGCTACCACACGGAGCGCAAGCAGGTTTACGAGGTCCGCGGTTCCTCTGATTCCTAAAAGGTATAAAACCTACAGAATTTGCAGAACGGTTTTTTTTACCTTTTTCATATATTTTGGACCAAAGATCGAAAATTTTGCCAAATTTTAGTACTGTTACGTGCGCTTTGTATACATATCAACAGCAAAAAAAGCTACATAAAAGGTGTGTATTCTTACGCCGGGTGATAGGACAAAGCCCCCCCCCCCGGTAACAGCCCAGTACCCTAAATTCTAGGGTGAATACGAAGGCAGCTTCCCGCTTGGTCGCGCCCTGATGGCCGTGTTCGGCAACTGGGGGTTAGCCAGATAACCCAAAACCTCATCTTCCCTTCCCACGTTTTAGTGAGGGCAAGGTGTACATCTGCCACAAGCGCTTCGGGGCCCCAGACCATCATCTCGTCGAGCTGGACATGGCCAAGGAGGCCAATTCGCCCCTCAACAAGGTGAGAGCGTCCCTTTTCAACACCTGCAACATATTTTCAGTTCACCGCGATGACCCGCCGCGGGATTCTGAACCTGGCCGTCGACTACAGTGGCCGCATGTTCTCCACGAAGACGTTCTAGCCCCGCCTTCCGCCGCCTCCAGTTAAAAATACTCGCCCCCTCCCTCCCCTTCCACCTTTTCCATTGTCTAAGCTGCGCCATTCACTATCATTCATTTACCGAGTCGAATCTTTCGTGCTTACTGGTTTTCTGCTGTGTGCGCGCGCCATCATTCTGTTTCGTGTGTATAAATTATATTTCGGATACCCAGAACATGCAACAACATCACAGTAGACAAGGGGGAACCCGAAAAAGCAGAATACCACCAGCAGAGGTTATGAGGGCCAGATGACGCGGCGCTTGGCCTCGTTGATGTTGGGCGCGTGGACACGGTCGATCGCCGAATCGAGGAATCTGCAAAAGATGGTTTGCTACCAGAATTCGAAAATTTGTGATATTGAAATTACTCGGAAAAAAATTCCAAATGTCGAATTTTTCTACGAACAACCCCAAAAATTTCGCTATTATGAAATTTCCGCATTATGAATTTCCACATCTCAAAATAAGCCGCAAGGTCCCATTGATACATTGGATGCCGATACGACGATAATTCTAACCTCGACAATATGATGCTATTGGTCGACCCAGGAGCGATCAGGCGTCGACAGTCCACGTTGATACGCTCGTACGGACTCCTGAGAAACACTTTGCAAAATTACGACACAAAAACCTGTCCAATTTGATGGCATTTCGATTGTTGGCCAGATCAACCTTGGTGCCGATGATCAGAATCGGAATGTGAGCGCTCTCAATAAAGGCCATCAGCGGTCGTGCGCATTGCGGGGTCCGTTTCGCCGTCTCCGGGTCGAGCAGCGCCATCCATTGCCACAGATTGTCTTCGCTTTTACTGTTTGCCAGGTCATGCACCTGAAAACTGATGATTCTAACGAAAAACCTCTACGCACCAGAATCGCACCGTGAGCCCCTTCAAGGAAAACGGATGAGGCTGTTCGATGGGCCACCTGCCCTCCAATATCCCACAGCGATACAACCTCTCGGCGAGTGTCGACGGAACCTGAAAATTGGATGATAAAACTCAGAAAAATTAACCCGACCTCCACGATAGTTATGTCGAGCCAACGAAATCTTGCAGCCAACGGTGCTAGGCTGATGCTCGTCCGGCCTACAAGGGCCGTCACAGAAACCGGAAGGCCAATTACCTCCCAGCGATCGTGGCACATAGCGCACTTTTCCCGACACCACTATCGCCCAGCACCACGATTTTGGCAGTTGCACGCTTTGGACGGGTGTCCTCCATGTCGGGCGAAGTGAACATCTAAATAACAAGGTCTTTTCGAGAAAGCCTTCTTACCATTGCAGCTCGGTGTTTTTCTTCGTCACCTCAAGGCAAAGGCTACAGCTGGCGCACTCGAAAACGCCACGATCGACAATTTGAGAAATCTAAAGCAGTATTAAATCGGTTTCTACAGGTTTCTATAATACCTCCGCCGGGGTGATAAGGTATTTATCCCCGCACCGACAATATTCCTCAAGCTCTTCCTGGTCGACGTCAATTTCGATCGCTTCGACAATGGTTCCCTAAGAAAAATAAAATAGAATTTGTAAAAAATACCCAACCTTATTCGCGCGCAGCTCTTGCTCCTTTAGCCAGAGGTCGTATGTTTTGCGTTTGATCGGATCCTGAAATTGCATTGATATCAAACTCCTCTAAATAACCTTTAATGTATTCCAAATCGTTGTCCCAATCGAGATTCCTTCCGGATCCGCGTCCGCTTCTCCCTTATCTGGATGAACGCGTCGCAAATAGGAGAAATAAGCCTAAAATTGCGACATAATCCAAGGAGAACAGTTCCAACCTTTTTCACAGCTTCTTGGCTAGCGTCCGGGGCAACGGCTAATAGATCGTAGAAGCTACGCATGCAGCCAGGGCATCCACCTAGAATCTGATACACAATATTTCAAAAATGACAAGGCCAAGAATGGAATGGATCGAGAGAAATCACAGAATCAAAAAGGCTTCAACTCCTTCAGGGACAGTTCATCAAAGGCGGCTATTCCGGAATCAGGTAACATATTCAGGCATTGCGTGCCCTGGAGCAGTCGCTCCCACCCAAGGGGCTCGAAATTATTTGGACTCGTTTGGAAAGCTTTTCTGGCTTCTTTTGCTCGGGCAATATCTTCGAACGACGTTCCAACGGCGACAGGATGATTGTCGTCTATGTACTGCTCTTCAAAAACGTATTCATCAAGTGGCTGGCCGTTTTCCGTACATTGTGTATCCAGCAGATATCGACCAGGTAAGTGGCTTGTAGTTTCATCCAGCGTGAAATCAATTGTACGTAGATCTTTTACCAATCCGATGCCGGTGGCTTTCAGTATAGCCTCTTTCAGGCACCAAACGCGGTAAAATGCCCTCCACTTGTCGATTTCTGTGGTCTGTTTTTCCATATAAGCGTGCTCGCCGACCGTGAATAGATTCTTCATCTTTTGCCTATGAGAATCGGCAGTTTCCCCTCGATCCATGTCGACGCGCATCACATCAACGCCAACCCGATGCTTAGAATCAGAGGCGAGCACCACGTATTCTCCATGATGAGAAATGTTGAACTGATGAGCGCTGCTGGGAGATTCGACAAATGGCTTCCCTCTCTCGGTCCTGGCTATGACGACCCGATTCCAATCCGAATTTGTCGTTGTCACAGCAAATTGGCGGGCCAGTAGTCGACTGACGAGGCAGGCAAGCGAATCATCTCGGTAGACAAATCTCCTATGCTCTTCGTACTCCTTCTCGGTTACGCATTGGACGCCTGTGCGGTAGTATGCCTCAAAATGGGTGCACTTCTCGAGTTCTCGCAAGTTCACTGCCCAGCGAAGCCTCCCTGCAGACATCTAAATAAACAAGTAAGAAAGGCCAGAAAAACTGTTCTAAATATCAATTCGAACTTATCGAATTTAATACGACAAATCAGGTCAAACTGATAGAATCTTTTATCGAATCCGGGCCTGGGACAAAGTATGTATATGCAAGGTATCATATATACACGAATCGTAGCTATAAATGCGCCAGCTGTAGCCAGCCTTCGAATTAGTCGGGATTCTCGAGATCGAGTGTCTTGACGGCCACCACGTAGCGCACATTATTGCGGTCGGGCTCTTCGGCCGAGATCAGCGGGGGTGGGTCGCCGCCGTCGCTAAAAGAAGAGGATTAACCCAGGAGCCAATTTTACCTGGAGGGTCGTCGGGCACCTATTCTGTAGCTGACATTCGCGTACTCCCTCAAGCATGGGCAAACAGCCAGCAGCCAAGAGCATACCGGCGCGCGAAGCCCGCACCACCAGACGTTGCCTCCACGACTAAAACGAGTTTTTCCTTTTCTAATCTCGGAACTAGGTGGTGTTGCTGGCGAAAAGCCTTTGGCCCACCTGCCACATGCCATCAGCATCATGCAGAAGAGCGACACGGCGAGTGGTGTCAGCACGACAGTGTAAGGAATTTCTTCGCTCTGGTGCATAGTTTCCAATTTTCCTAAAATTATATTGGATTAAGTTTTTCTCGTCGGCTTACCAGTAAGAAGAACGAGACACACAAGCGCTGGAAGAACAAGTAATGTGTGAAATACTGCCGAGTAGAGATGGTGCCGTCTAAGACAATATTTCATAATGATGTTACCAACGAACCTGTGAGCTGGCATCAAATGCCGCGAACGAGCCAACAGAACAGCTAATATTAAAGCATACAATACCCCGACGACAGACAAGGATAAGACTACCCATAGAGGAATGAAGACCACTGCCCACGACCAGTCGAGCTGAAAACCGTTATTTTTTTTTTCAGCCAGACACTTTTTACCTGGTGGTCCAGCTTAAAAGCAATAAACACAAACTGCACAACGTTGATTGAAAAGAAGAGCTCGAGCTGAAAGATCTACGTAAAAACTAATTACAAATCAGTTCACCTCAAATGGCTTGTCATGGCGAATCGCCCAAATCGAGACCAGTATTGCAACGATCGACAACAGGAAGATCGGCATGAACACAAAAATCCAGCTGAAAAATTGTCAGCCCGTTCTTGATGGACCTACGAAAAGTAGACGTCTTCCATGGCATATTGGACTTTGAAATAGACGAGCACTTCGAACGCCGTCAAGATCAGGTGCTCAATGGTGGTGAGTATCATTGCCGTGAAATCAACCCGCAGCGCTATCTCATTCCTGAAATGATAGTGTTATGATATTTCAAGCCGACAAACTGGGTGGGAGGGCGAATGAAGTAGGATACGCAGCCGAGCATCGCCGCCAACACCACGGCCGCCGTGCAGGCCCAAAGCGGTAAGAAGATGAAGCCATAGTTGAGGTCGATGTAGTTGTCGAGTTGCAGGGCCAACAGCGCGACGAATGACAGCATACAGCCGTAGAGAATAAATTTGCTAAAAGGGCGATCTTTGGGAGTGCCTATAAAACGACTCACGCTGCATTGAAGCCCCGGAAGAAGACTCCAAGGCTTATTTCGGTAGGGTCTTCCATTACATCAGATCACAGGGTCACATTTGAAGCTCGTTTTGATCTGCAATAACTTTTTTTAGTAAGATTTTCGGTCGATTGAGATTGCCTAGATAACTTTCTGTTGAGAAAGCGTATGGGCGGCCCGGCCATTGGAGTGGCGGGTAGCTATTCCTTGGGCGTTTCTAACTCGAAAGTTTACTTTTGCAACGTTGTAAAGATGTCTGAACCGAAGAAACACGGAGTGCTTTTCGTTTGCTTAGGTAATTCTATTGAATACATACATTTTAAATTGCCTTTCAGGCAACATTTGTCGATCGCCGATTGCTGAGGCCGTCTTTTTGGACATCTTGAAAAAGAAGGGACTCGAGAATAGGGTAATTCTTATGATCAATGGCAATGAAAATTTTTAGTTTGACGTTGACAGCGCCGCTGTTGCCGGATATCACACCGGAAAGCGCCCCGAGAAGCGGACCCTCGAGACATTGAAGAAATATGGGCTCACCGATTACGAGCACCGGGCACGAGAGGTGAATTTTATATTGCTAGGTAAAAATATGTTGCTTTCTAGGTTTCTACGGCCGATTTCCGCAAATATGACGTGATTTTCGGCATGGACTCGAGTAACATTAGGTGAATTCTGATGGATCCGTTTTTATGGATGATTTTAGGGACCTCAAGGAACTGCAGCGTCTGGCTGGAGAGAAATCGATCGCAAAGGTCGAGCTACTCTCGGATTATGACCCGGAGGGTAAGCACGGAGCAAAATTTGATTTTCTATGTTTTTTAGGTACAAAGGAGGTCCCGGACCCGTACTACTACGAGGGCAACGCCATGTTCGACCAAGTTTTTGCGCAATGTGGGCGCTGCTGTGCCGCATTTCTAGAATCGACGCTCAAGCATTGAAATGTTAGTGTTTTTAATTTGATAAAGTATGCAACTTTGTGTCGCTGAAAACAGTTACGAAAATTGGTTGCGCCAAAATTATTTGCGTCAAATTTGAGAGAATCGGCTTCATCAGTGATTTTTAGAATGGCAACCCCCAGCAGTCAAATGGTTATGTACCTGGTGCTACGAAGGGATTTGCTGAATGCCCCTCTGAGCTGGCCGATCGGGGCCGTGGCAACGCAGGCAGCGCATGCTGCCTCGGCAGCAATGTGGATATTTAGGTTCGTGAAAAAATTTGATCACAGGAAGGTGGAAGGTTGTTTTAGAAATGACCCAAACACCGAGGTCTATACGAGCGAGCTGGATTCTATGCACAAGGTGACGCTTGGTGTGGATAGCGAAGAAGAACTTGCAAAAGTGGTTACGAAGCTCGAGGAGAAGAAGCTTGATCATAAGGTGAGATTATGCTTTTGAGCTTCTGTGTCAGTGGAGCAAACTAATTTTTTGGCCTTTCGTTGCGACTTGTCTGCACATACACGCTTTTTTGGTATTTTACGATCACCAAAACTTTCTTTGAAAATTACCGCATTTTGAAAAAAATGAAAAAACTGAAGTTTTCTGGCCTTTTTGAGCTTTAACAGACCATTTGTAAACTTAAGAAAAGCTACAAAACTACAAAAGGGGCGTTGTTGAATTATTTTAGCTCCACAATGCGATGAGAACCCCCCCCCGCTAATGCCAAAGCACTCTTTACGCACAATCGACTCTGCTTCCAGGTCTGGATCGAGGACAACATGCGCGTCTGCGTGGCCCTGAAGCCCTACCCGAAGAATGACGTCAAAAATGTGATCCGATCGCTGAAGCTCTTCTAGTGCATTTGGATCGAGCGTAATGATAAATTATAATAATTTTTATTCACAACCTGAAAGAGCGCACACAGGGGATCGATAGTCAAATCGGAAAAAAAATGGTTCTTTGGGCCCGATTCATCGCTGGGACAGTATCTCGGCGTACTCGTTGAATTGCGGGCAATTTGGTCCCTTTTTCGGCGGGGGAATATTGGTGCTCCTTGGCGGGGAAATGTATGCCAGCCCTCCGAGGGGGACGGAAGCGGATGAGGGCTTGTGTTTGACAGGTCTGTGACGAGGCCAATTTGGCCCCCTGGCCGGCCCTGGGCCCTAAGTAATCGGGCCTCAGAGTCGAACCCCAGCATGTGCCATAGATATCGGCCTTTATTAGTCCCAGCGATGACTCGATGCGGGGGTACTATGATAGATAGAAAATGTGGTTCTTTAAGATTTCGGGGGGGGGGGCTGATTATTTTTTTCTTTAGAATCTAATTTAGCTTTTTGATCAAGGGTATTTCTTGATGGTTTTACTAGTTTGTAAAGATAAAACCTTACAAAACTTCATTAAAAATATAAAAACTATAGATTATCGAGGAAAGATTTCCGAATTTCGACAAAATTGGAAGTTTAGAATTTTTCTAGGTTTTCAAAATAGGTTTTCCACTAAACCTATAGCTCAAATTTACTAAAACCGTCATGATAGCACAAAAAAATTCGTCTCCCCACCCCTCGGAAAGACCAACGAACCGAAAAAATTTGCTAACCGGGATTTCTGAGGGAATCATCAGCCCATTGGGCTGAATTGTTTGGTCCGGAAACTACACAGAAAAAAACGGGGGAATCGAGCGGAAGGCACTGTGAACGGAACGACACTGTTGATCATTTTGAATATAGAAGTGTTTTGTTTTGAAAGAATTAGGGGAGGACGGGGGGTTTGATGCGAGCTTTCACTTCAAGGCACTTGACGATATGCAGGGGCGATCGTCGGCGGATGGATTCGGGCACAACGACGGTCTGAAATCGATTGGTCAATAATTGGAATTAATTACGATTCATTCACTTTCAGACATTACTACGTATACACCTATTTACGCCGCGAGAGCGCGCTAAAAAAAGAGACGCAGATGTTTAGGTGTATACGTACAGTTACATGGACCTGCATTTTAATGGCAACGTGTAGAGTTAAGCGTACGAGCAAATTTGTAAAGTTTGAGCAGCTTTCTACAGTATTCATTTTCAGATAAACTTATGTAATAAGCTTTGTATTCTGTAGTTTAACGTATTATAACATTTAATATACAAAACAGGCAGAATTTGGCAGCGTACTATCATTTTGTTAATATTAAAATTATGAATGTTGGCTGTGTTATCTTATTAACGAGGCATACATAGATAAGTATGTTGAGGCGGTTGCACTTTACTATTTCATAAATAAGATTTTAAAACTGATAAAAGCTCTATGATTTTTTCCAGGTTTTTTTTATAATTGCCTCTTACCTTAAAAATTGCTTGAACGCTAAAACTTTAGAAAAGTACACAAATTCCTAATTTAATTCCTATACTTAACTTTAACAACATTTTCCACCAACCTTTTTTTTGTTCCATTGCAAAACCCTTAACACAAATGGCAGTAGTAGTTGAAGGCGACCACCTGGAAACAGCGGGAATTCATTTTTATTTTCTTTCCCCTAGGCGGCTTTTATTAAAAACGTTTTGCACCCCCTGGCCAGGGCCAAAATGGCGGCCATTGTGTCTGCTTGCGAGGGCTGGTGGTGGGGCACCACTTGCTTTTGGCCCTCACCTGGGCCCCTTTCCGCGCCCCCTGGCTCGGCTCGTAAATTATTCGGCGCTTTCGGAAGCGCTCCATCACGCCCCGGCCAAAAGCTGCGGGCCCTAGTCGTTTTCCGGGTTGTTGAGAGGGGGAGAGGGTGGCGAGTACAGTTGGATATTGGGGGAAATATCGTTAGAGAAATATCGTTTAAAATTAGTTTTGAAGGGAGTTGGAGCTTTCGCATTATCGGGGGGGGGGGTGGGGCTTATTTTTTGCATGTGAAAAATGCCTATTAACGTAATGGTAAGTATTTTAATATAGTGAATCAGAAATTTTAACTGTATTTAAAGTGCAAAAATATCTAAAAAAAATTTGAATATTCTGCTCGAAAATGGGCCATTTTGGTCGAAAAATGCTATTTTTTTAATAGAAACTTGTAAAGTTTTTGCATTTAGTATATAGTCAAAAGGGTAGAAATACTTTTTTATCTTAATTAGAAAAGCCGAAACCAGGCGAATACTAAAGAATTTAACTAAACCAAAAAAACCGCCCCCCCCCCCGATAATGCCAAAGAACCCCCGAAATTTGTAGGGCATAAAGCGAAGGGGAGTAGAATGCTTTCTAAAAGCCAGAGAAGACGTGTAGCGCGCAAAAACCCAGGCTCGCTAGCTGGCAGACTAGCAGAAATTCTTCAGGAATTTTCCGGGAATCCCCCGTCCCGTATTTAGGTGCCAGCCGTCGTCTCGACCGTGTATAGCCGTATGGCGTCCCATCGGTGGTGTATTTGTGTGCAAGCCGAGCCATGTGGGAGCGAATATAATCGAGTTGGGACGGGGCGAGGTCCCTGCTTCCAGTTCGTGTGTCCGTTCCGGCGGGGGCCGTCGGGACACCTCACTGATTAGCGGGGCCCTGCCCTACTTGGCGCTCACCCTAGTACCAGGAGCACCAACTTGGCACCTTTTGCATCGGTTCTGGTTGGTTAGCGGGGGGGGGGGAGGAGCTAACTTCCTTTATTTAGCGTTAGAAAGGCGAAATTCCATATAAATAAAACATATACCTTTTCCTACTAAAATGTTTTTACTATTTTTTTCGGTTCCTCAAAGGATAAAAAAACATATTAAAAAATTTTCGATAATTACTCAAAACCTGACAATTTGTCATATTTTTTGACCAAAAAACTCGAATTTTTCGATCGTTTTAAGTTTTTTGTAAACTTTACACCTAAAAAGGATGGAAAATCCCATTAAAATTGTTTCTATTTGATCATGGCAATCTACAGCAACCTAGAAAAAATTAGCCCCCCCCGCTAACGAACCAGCACCCCGTAAATTTCAGCCTCCCAGGTCACGCCATCACTTTGCAGGGCCATACCCTTGGCGGAATTGCGTGTGCCACGCCCATTCAAATGCAACAGATTTTCGGTACCTGGGGGAGGAAGGTTACGGGGCGTTACACGGCACGTACGTACCACAACGGCAAGCAACATTGGGTTCGAATCTTTGGTTGGGTAATCGGATAGGCAAATATAAAAAGATAAATGGGAAATAAAATATAATTTGGCGATAGAATCACTACCAGGCGTTTCCTTTTACTTTCTTACTACAGTTTGTGACAAAAGGATAGGTGGCTCGACCTTTTTCGTAATTTTCTCAGCTTATTTGGCATGTAGGGGCATCCTGACCGGTCGTTCGTTTTGTAGCCCGAAAAAAGGCGGAATTTTGGTATACTGGACATGTCTTGAACAATGAAGCAGCAGATTTTTATAAGCATTTTAAGTTTTCAATAGGCGCTATCTCATTCCCAGGTGCCGTTCGCTACACACCAATACAAACGACCCTGCAAAGCCCGGCAACTCCCCCAAATTCAAACGAAATAAAAATCGCCTTCGTTTCGATACTTTTTGAATTCAGTTTTCTTAGTTCTTGGTATCATTAGAATCGCCGTGTCCCACATTCACAAAGTTGGAAATCGACTTTTTTAAGATTCCCCTTTAGTTTTGAAGTTATAAGGCTTCTAAATTTGGGCCCCATACATTTTCTTGACGAATGGAGCGTCGCGTTCCTTAGGCCCTTATTGCCGCTATTTCTGGGCGTGGTGCATAGGTGTGTAGTGGAAGATGGGTCTCGAGAAAATATGTGAGGGTCTGTAGTTCGTTAGGAAGTTTAGAAAGTCTAGATGGAGAAAAGGGCGTAAAATGGATTGTGGCCATTAAATACCATTTTTTAGCGATTTTTCTAGTAAGTAAAAGTGCTTAATTCTGATATTGTTAGACTTATTGACGCAGTAAACGCTCAATAAACGCATTTTTAGACCTTTTAGGCCAGAAAAAGCTCCACAAGAAACATTTTTAGATTTTAGAACAGGAAGAGCTCATGAAAAACCAACAGATATTGCCGCCCCGCCGACGGTCAACGGCACGACCACCAGCAGCGTCGTCAGCATCGAGCTGCGCGTCGATATTGGGGAATCGGGTCCGATTAGATGCTGAAAACACGCAAATAATGAAAGAACTTGTTAATTTTAAGTTGTTGTGCCGGTAAAACCCACATAATTCGTGTCATCGGGTCGATCCCGACTCTCGCTCGAATATCAACAGCGATCTTCCGACGGAGGCGCGCTGTCTTTTCGGGTGTGAAGCCTGAAATGGGGCTGCAATCTTGAGTATTCCCGCGTAATAGTTTTTGTAAAATTTAGCTATATTTAAAGCAGGAAAACTATGTAAAAATTTAGAATATCCTATAAGAGACATTTTGTTCGAAAATCGGCCTTCTTGATCGAAAAACTGACGTTTTGTTTTATAATTATCATAAACCAGCGGGGAGGAGCCGCTACGCGACTCTCCCCGCTGGGACCCCGTCTAGGCACTATGAATCGAGCGCCCTTCCACATAAAGTTACCCTGAAGAACGCATCATGCAAACCTCTTTGTGTTGACATACAGCGCAAGCTTAAATCGTTATTGGGCCTGCGGCGCAAGCTTGAGCGGCTGACTTCGTTCTAAAGCCTGCGGCACTAGCTTGAGCGGCAGCTTCGTTCTAAAGCCTGTGGCGCTAGCTTGAGCGGCTAGCTTCGTTCTAAAGCCTGCGGCGCTAAGCCGAGCGGCTGACTGTTCTAAAGCCTGTGGCGCTAGCTGAGCGGCTAGCTTCGGTTCTAAAGCCTGCGGCGCTAGCTTGAGCGGCTGACTTCGTTCAAAAGCCTGTGGCGCTAGCTTGAGCGGCTAGCTTCGTTCCAAAGCCTGCGGCGCTAGCTTG